ACGTATTTGGGGTGCTTAGTTCTCGTTTTTTAACTCTGGTAATATATTAAAATCCCCTGGGGGATTTTAGCTGCTTCATCTCACCCAAGATCAACTGCATTCAGAATTGCTCAGGGTAAGACCTCAAATACCTAGACATTTCAAAGTTTCCCAAGATGATTCTGTGTTTGCCATTTTGTTTCAGTTTTTACTTGGGAGATTTGGAACCCACACAAAAATAGAGAGAATGGTACGCTCTGTCCCCAAGGTACCCACCCTTCAACTTCAGCTACTGCCTCAATCCATCATATCAATCATAGCCCCGTCAACACTCTGCCCTAGATTATTTGGAAGCCAGTCTCAGGCACTGTACATTTCACCCATAAATATTTCACTAAGAATCCCTACATGATAAGGGTTTTTTTTTTTTTAAAGATCACATGACCAGGATACCATGATCGGACTTCACAAAATATCACATCTTCATATCATCAACTATCCCATCAGTATGCAAATTACCCTGATCGCTTTATAAAACTTTGTTTGAATTTGGATCCAAATGAGATCCATGTACTGTCACCGATGATCACATCTCTAAAGCCTCTTCTGGGTAATTCTGTGGCACCGTGCTTTAGTTTGCCAGCCACAGGATCCAAGGAAATCAACCAAGACAGAGAGCCGAGGTGAGGGAGAAGGGCAGGTGGGCAGCCTGGTTTTCTGGAATACTGAGTGGTGCCCAGGATTCAAGTCCCATGTCTCAGCCAAAAGGCTCAGTACTGCTGACCAGGTCGGAGGGTCACCCGTGATCTGCAATGCCCCAGGACCCACCAGGCGGCACGCCACTTATGAGCCCTGGCAGGTCTTTGGTTTTTAGAACTAATTTACTTCCTGGCTTGTTTGTTCATTGAGCCTGTCGCTTTCTGGAGAAGTGCCCTCCCCCCGTCTTTGCCTACACGGAGGCAGGAGCCCACCGAGGCACTAGAGTGTCGGCGTTCATCTTCCATTCTGCAGAAAATGGATAGAATGATGCTTCCTTAGTTGAGTAAACCACCTAGAAGTTTCCCAGGCCTGACACTGACCATCTCCCTCCTTATTCCTTGGAACCCAGAAGCCTGGCCCGGCTGGAGGGGGCCATTTGGAAAAGTGCCAAGGGGTTGTGACAGCCTCTCTGAGGGGTCTGAAGGACACTCTCTGGAGGAAAGAGGAGCTTGAGTTGGTGACCTGAGGGTGGCTGCAGAGCCAGCTCAGCTCAGGGGGTAGCTGAGCATCTGAGCAGGAGTAGGGGACAGGGGTGGGGGGGGCTCACCCTCACACTCTCCCCTCAAGGGTTGCTGACAGTTCCCTGGGGATTCTGCCCCTTCCCGGGGAAGGTGCCAGGTTTCCTGCTACCTTGGGCACCTCCCTCTGCCTCACGTACTCATTATTTGTTTGTTGCTTCACCAAATGTTTTGGAGATCGTGACGCCTGTCTAGGGGACAGGGGACACCACAGTGAGCCAAACAGACCTTCTAGCCCTGGTCCGCGGCACAGGAGATGAACGGGTAGAGAGACGGTGTATCGGACCCTGGTAAGGGCGGAGGGGGTGTAGATAAGGGGCTGTGTTAAGCTGTGGGGAAAGGGGACCCCGACATTTTCAACGTGGGGACCATGGAAAGCGTCGTGCACAAGGTGTCCTCTGGCTGAAGCAAAGACGTGACCTATTTGCATTCCCAGGAGTGGGACAGGGGACTCCTTCACTTCCTCTCTCCTCGCCCCTCTTGCTCTCCCTCTCGAGACCCTCCCAAGCCCAGGCTTGGCTCCGTATCATCTCAGAGGTCCCCTCACACCCTGGACCCTATTCCGGCTTGGTCCTCCAGTGTGCCCTCTGTCACCTCTGTGCCTGCCCCTTTGTTCTCAGGGCTGTGGACCCTATTATCCTGCACCTGCTCCTGAGCCTGGCATCCCTGTGACCCCTCTGTGACCCCCTGGTCCCTAGGCACTGCCTAGCTGTACAAACCCCAAGCTCGGCTCCAATGTCACCTCCCAATAAGGGAAATGGCATGAGGGGAAACTATTTTGGGGGGCAGGCTACCAGGGATTGAACTCAGGGGCTCTCGACCACTGAGCCACATCCCCAGCCCTATTTTACATTTTATTTAGCGACAGGGTCTCACTGAGTTGCTTAGGGCCTCACTGTTGCTGAGGCTGGCTTTAAACTCACGATCCTCCTGCCTCAGCCTCCCCAGCCACTGGGATGACAGGCGCGCGCCACTCTTAATGAGAATAGCTCATTAAGTGGCCAGTTGCCAGGCAGACAGAGTGCAGAGCCCAAACTCCATCCTGTCCCTGGGCATTCCACAGAGACCCCCGTGTCCCCGGCCACCATCATGTCTTGTCCTGTCTGGATGGTGCAGCTGTCCCCCTGCTGGTCTCTCCACGTTGACTCTCCGTCTTCCCCTTACCCTCCCCCTGCGCAGCCATTAGAGATTCCCACTTTAAACGGATTAGATCAGTTCTGTGCTCACTAACAGGCTGCAGGCCTTGCCAGCACACACTGCCCAAGCCCTGTCTTGCAGCCTGTCAGTCCCACGGGGCTCTGGACTGTCCCCAGGTGACCTCATGTGGCTCAGCACTGTCCCCTCACTGGCTGTGGCACCGGGTCTCCTCCCCTCCCTGCCCCTAGACCTTCGCCTCTGTCACAACATCCTCATTCCACATCTTTAGCCTTTCCTGGTCCTTCAGGTCCCAGCTGAAATACCAGCTCAGCGGAGGGGTCCTCCCGGCCACTGGGTCTCACCCACCCCTGCTTCTAGCATGTTCTGCTGTATCACAAGTGATCGCTTCCTGTTTTGTGTTATTGACTGAGTTCACCTTATTTTTTTTTTAAATTTAACTTAAATGCAATTATTCATAGCTGCTCCTGCATCTCCTAGCTGAGTTCCTGAAGCCGATTTGAAAGCTCAATGGACGTTTGTTGAATGAATGAATGAGTGAATCACCTAATTTAATTCTTGCAACACACCCCATGACCCATTTCCTTGGTTCTCACCTAGGACTGCACCTTAGAATCTCTTGGGGAGTTTTACCCCAAACCAGCAGCTTCTAGTTTAACAGGTCTGGGGTGGGGTTTGTCTGGGTGTCTTTTTTTTTTAAGCCTCCTAATTGACCCAACTGTGTAGCCATCTTGAATCGATGACCTTGGCAGAGGGGAGGCTGCCGTGGGAGGCCCTGCCTCCGTTTGCCATTTTCACCACCGTGGCTCATACCTGACGGAAGCTGTGATTCTCTCAGGGCTGCTGGGGCCAAGCTGAGCCGGGGCTGCAAACCCCATGGTCCTCTGGGAGGTGGTGGCCTTCAGAGCCGGCTCCTGGCTTCCCCTCGAGTTTGGAGCAGGAAATCCAGGGGCAGAAACGCAGGCCTCCCTGAGCACACTGGGGCCAGGGCAGCCTCGGCAGCTGGTTCTAAGCTCTGGGGTTCTAGAGGCCCAGGGTAACCCTGGAGAAGAACGGCCCATTGTTGAGTCACAGGGACCCCCTACCCCGCAGTCCCTGCTGAGAGGCCTTGCCCACGGACCCCCGGGGTCAGAGTCCACGTGGGCGCCAGAAACAAAACTTGCATTGGCTGCTGGGGGTGGCTTAGACGGGCCCTGAATTTAGTGGGGACAGTGTAGCGTTTAGTCCCAGTCATTGTTGTGGTCACAATTTGCAGGCTTTGGCCTCTGCTGTGCTCCTGCCATCGAGTGTCGGTGGACAGTGGTGACACTGAGATCCGATTGCTTGAAGAACAGCCAATCCATCCATCCACTCCAGAGCGGAGACTGTAAATCTAGATATGGCTGGAAATTCAGAGATAAGAGTGTCACCCGGGACTTAGTAGAGGACACGGTGGCCAAGCCTGCCAAGAGAGGAGCTGCTCACCTGGAAATAGGTCACTCTGACCCAACCAGCAGGAAGACAGAGCCCCGGGGGGGGGGGGGGGGGGGGTTACAGAAAGGGCTAAACACGCCCAGGGCTCCTCTTCCATGAGGGGATGTGGGCTCAGTTCTCAATTGTTAGGCACAGAATGTCTCCGCACGATGCATTTCAGATAGAGAACCATGAGTAAATATCAACCCCTCTTCATTGGACCTGACAAATATTTATTGAACTCTCCCATTATGGCAGGTGCTGTTCTAAGTGCTGGGGACATGGTAGTGCCAAGGACCCAAAATATATGTCCTCATGGAGCTCACACCCTAGCATGTGTACATGGAGGGAAAAACAAAGTGAATAAATTAAAAAAATATGGAACATTAGGAAGCCATCAGGGCCAAGGAGAAAAGCCAAGCAGGGAATTCAGGGTAGGAGGTGTCGGGGGTGGTGGTGGGGGGAGCTGGTCTCGGGGAGGTGGCGGGGGCACACACAGCGAGCCCCGCAGTGGCACAGGAGTGCACCCTGGGCTGGCAGGAGTTCCCGGCAACAGGTCCTGGGAAACCCGACAAGTCAGGGCCACAGTGGCTGCTGCTGTCCTCAGAGAAGGTGTCCCAGCCCTCAGCCAGATCCTCAGGGGACAGCAGGGCCAGTGTGGCTGGAGCAGAAAGAGCAAGAAGACGAGAAGAGGAAAGCTGGCAGGAAGTGACGTGGGATGAGGTAGCCTGTGGGTGGCTTACTTGGTGTAGTACAGTCGGTACTGTCACCGTCATTATTTTTAGTGAATTTATAGAGCTGTGTTGCTGTGTCACCCAGATTGAGAACAATTGCATCACGTGACCCCGGCGGCCACTGTGTGTTCACGTGCAACCCCTGCTAATCCGGGGCCACCCCTCGGTGACTTCCCCCGTGGACAGGAGGGTCATGAGCAGAAAGTGGGCGAGGCCTGGCTCCTGTCGACCCCACTACTGTGTCCTTTCTGTTTCAACAGAACAATGTCCTCCTTGTCCTTTTGGATTAGTTGGCAAACTAAGTCCTCAGGGAACATTCAACAGTAGGCAGGCGTCCACGCTGGAGGGAACTTGGAGTGCTGCCTGGCAGGGACCCAGTGTCCTGACCAGCTGGCTCCAAGACCTGCCCTCTCTTGGCTCCCTCTGGGGCCAAAGTTCCCTGCGAGAGTTTGAGTCAGCAACTTGCTTGAAAAAGGAATTGCTAAGGGCTCTCAGGTCTACCCTTTAGCAAGAGCAGAACACAGGTGCCTTCTGCATTTCCTGGGTCCAAGAACAAGGTAACCAGGCAAGAAATCCTCCATGGAATGGCCTTGGGAAACCACAGAGGGAGGCTGGGGATTCTAATCATCAGCTGTGAAGAAATAGGAAATCCAGCCGGGAGCAGTGGTGCACGCCTGTAATCTCAGTGGCTCCGGGAGGCTGAGTCCAGAGCCAGCCTCAGCAGCTTAGTGAGGTCCTAAAACAACTCATGGAGACCCTGTCTCTAAATAAAATATTAAAAAGGGCCGGAGATGTGGCTCGGTGGTTAAGCACCCTGGGGTTCAATCTCTGGTACAAAAAAAAAAAAAAATTAAATCTAGGAAATCCAGGGGTATAAAGCCAAGACACAGGCTTGGGACAGAATTTAGGAGCCATTAGGAGGGGAAGGGAGAGAATCTCCAGGGTCTCAGGCCCAGAATTAGTGGCCACAGCTGAGCCTGGGAGGCTGGGAGGCTGGGAGGCCGGGAGGCTGAGAGGTGAGGTGAAAAGTTACTTCTGCCTTTTCTTTATTTTCTTTATGTGCCTCTTTTTCTTTATCTGTAAAATGGATAAAATGATATTTACATCATAGAGGTATCATAGTGTTTTAATGAAATAATATTTATAAAGCATTTTCAATGTGCTTGGAACACAGTGAGCCTTCGATGCATGGTGGTGCGGTCGGATTTCCTGGTTGTTGTGAAGTACTGTAATTGTTATTATTGCCATATTCGGTTATTATTACCAAGAGGAACTTGGCAGGGAGAACTGAAACGGGGGACACAGCCCCCAGGCCACAGCTTCTAGAACTTTGACGAGCACTCAATACATCTGGGGATCCAGCTGACCTGCGGATTCCAGTTCCACAGGTGTGGGGTGGAGACTGAGGCTCTGCAGTTCCACAAGTGCCCAGATGGTGGAGCTGGTCCAGAGGCCATCCTTTCAGTAGCAGGACACCAAAACAGCTCTGCGCAGTACCGTGTCACTGCCCACCTGTGACTCATGGGTACTCAAAGTGTAGCCTGTCCAAATTGGGGTGTGCTTGCTAGGGGGGAAATGCATATTGCATTTCAGGGATTTAGTACAAGAAAAGGCAAAATACCTCTGTTCATTAGATTTTCATTGCTGAGACAGAATAACTGAGGAAAACAACTTTAAGGAGGAAAAATTTATTTGGGCTCATGGTTTCAGAGGTTTGGGTTCATGGTTGGCTGGCTCCATGGTATCTGGGCCCAGGGTAAGGCAGAGCATCATGGCAGGGGGGCAAGGCTGCTCAGCTCAGGGCCACCAGGAAGTGAGGATGGAGGGAGAGAAAGAGAGAAAAGGCCTGGGATATACAAGATATATACCCTGCTTGGGCATGACCCCAGGGACCGTCTTCCTCCAACCGGGTGCCATCTCCTGCAGTCTCCACCACCTCCTGATAATCCACTCAGCTGTGAATCCCCCACTGATGGCAGAGCCCTCACGATCGATCACTCCCCAAAGCTCCACCTTTGAACATTGCCGCATTGGGAACCAAGCCCACAACACAGGAGCCCCTGGGGAATAATTCAGATTCACAGCATCACCTTATCTCTTTAATCATTAGCTTTCACACTGATTCCATATGGAAATGATAATATTTTCCATATACCTGGTTTAAGAAGACACTATGATAAATGTCACCTGTTTCTGCTGCCAGAGAGCTTTCTTTGGCTGGGCCAGGCCAGTTCAGGATCGGTCAAAGGGTATTAGAGGGAATAATTAACAGAGCGGAGTACGAATGCTCCAACACAAAGGAATGATGCCTATCTAGGTAATGACTATGCCAGTCACCCTAATCTGATCACTACCCGTTGTATCCATTCATCGAAATGTCACACTGTACCCCACCAATGTGTTGAATTACTATGTGTCAGTTAACAATGTATTTTGAGATTTTTTTTACTACAACAACAAAATAAAGGACATGAGAGGGATTCCTTTTAGACTTGGCTTTGAGAAGTGGGCTTGGAGTTAAGGACCTCAGGCCCACAAAGACCCACAAGAAATGAGAGGTGAGAGAGGAGGGAGGGGTGGGCCTCAGATTCAGAGAAGGAAAATGACCAATGTCACATAGTTGAACTGAGCCTGGAGACCAACACTGTGTCCAGTACGAGCAGCAGTCACCCTCAGGGCTGGCCACAGGGTTCTCCCAAGCCCCCAACCCAGGATTCAGATGATGACCTCTCTCCTCTCTTTGGTGACAGGCAAGAGGCTACAGACGACATGAGGCTGTGGCTGAGATGCAGGGTCCTCCAGGTGCTCAAGAGCTCCCGGGGATTCTGCGGATCTCATGGGCACCTGTCACCTCTCCCTGCCTCTCAGAAGATCGTGGGCACATGGGAAGCCATCAGTCTGGGGAGGCAGCCGGTGCCCGAGTACTTCAACTTTGCCCATGACGTGCTGGATGTGTGGAGTCAGCTGGAGAAGGTGAATCCCATCCTGTCCTGGGGCCCCTCGAGGGTATCTGAGGCTGCCCCCACCACCCCAATGAGACCTGAGACTATCGGGTTGATTTGGAAATTTCGACCTCGGAACTTTGCAGATCCTAAAATTTAAATTGTTAGCTTTTAAGCCTTAGGGAAAATTATGATTAAGTGTTACCAGCTATAAATACCCTTGCATAATCCTGGAGGTGTGTCATATTTCTGAGTCCAACTCATACCAGGAGACAGTTACGCCCTCTCTTGTTCCCTTCCAATAACTGTCATCAAGGGAAAGAGGAAGTTTTCGTCTTATTGCTATTCTGTCTTCAATGTTTCTCTCACTCTCATTCACTCCCTTCTAAATAAAGAGAAAGAGGAGTTCGAAGGTCAACGCTTTCCGCAGATCCTAGCAGATACACAGAACTGAGTGAGATAACCCTGATTTCCTCCTGCGTCTCTCTGCCTACGCTTCCTTTCTGTGTTGTATTCATGTTAAAATAAAACATTCCATGGATAAAGGAATAGAAATTTTTATGTCAAAGAAACGTACCGGTGTTCATTTTAAGATAACCTTGTTTAAAGAGTCAATGAGGTTCACAGCAGCGGGAACAGATACGGTAAGTACTGCTGGTGAATACGGTGAAGCTCAGGGAGGTGAATGAGGGGACAAGATTAAAGGCTGGCTTTGCAGTCAGGTGGACGTGGCTCACTGGAAGTGAGACCTTGGACACGCTGCCTAAGCTTTCTAGGTCTCAGTTTTCTCACCTGTAAAATGAGAGTTACCCCTTATATGGCACTCAGAGTTCCTGTGAGAGTTGAATCAGGAATCAATGTGAAAATCGCAGCCCTGAGGCTCCATTTCTGCCTACAAAGTCTAGCTCTTTTTGTCATGCTGGGGAGCAGGAGACGTCCTTAGAGGCCTTCTGATGATCCAAAAAACAAACAAGCAGGATTAAGTCAGCAAAATGGGGGAATAAGGACCTTCCAAAAACTCTCTGCTTCATAAAAGCAACAAGAGTCAGAGAAATTGTGAGAATCAACTTCCTCAGACTCCAGAAACCAACCAGACACTACAGCAACCAGGGGGTGTGCATCCAAGGACTGGCCAAATCAGCAAGAATGGCAAGCCATGTGGCCTTTTCCCCGTCCTGAGTCCAAGCCCCCACTTGACAGTGACATGGTCACCTTGTCAAACCATACCCTCATTCCCAGGCCTCCCGGAAGCCAGAGAGGAAGCAGAATGGAGCTGGGGCCTTTTCCAAAATTAATTCCCAAAGAATTATCATTATTCGAACAGTCTGGTGGTTCTTTTGGAAAAACCTCATTTTCAAGGTTATTTGTATTTGACCTGACTCAGAGCTCGACCAATCAGAAAAAAACTGTTCCCTGGAGTCCATTGGTCAAAAACAAGTACAGGCAAGTGTTTTAACTTTGTGGTTACATGATGGGGTGGATTCCAGTCGGGGCAAACAACAGACAAACCAAAAGCCAAAAATGAGAAGGTAGGGAATGACATATCCCTAGGAGCTTTGAAAATCTCCAATATGTTCCTGGGAATCTCAGAAGCGACATCCCAAGTAGAACTCTGTACGCTCCCAGGACTTTACACATGCTCAAGAAAGACCTAAAAAAACCATAAGCTCTCACCTCAGGCTGACCTTGAGGTTATTGAGCAAACAAGAGGTGAAGGCCAAGGTAGAGTTGCTAATTTGTACACTGTTTCTATTTAGGATAATGAACATATTTTGAGATTAGATAGTGTTGATGGTTCTGCAACCTTGCAGAATATACTAAAAGCCGAAGAATTGTGAACTTTGATGATTTTATTGGTAGATGAACAATATTTCAATTTCAAAAAGAGGAATATATAGGACAGTGTGAACTATAATGCTATCTTTTGCATTAAGAAGATGGTGTGGGTCCAAGTGGCTCCAGAGACTGAGGCAGGAGAATCACGAGTTCAAAGCCAGCCTTAGCCACTTAATGAGGCCCTAAGCAACTCAGCGAGATGCTGTCTCTAATTCTTTTTTTTAAAAATGTTAAAAAGTTTGGGGATGTGGCTCAGTGTGTAAGCACTCCTGGGTTCAATCCCAGAACAACAACAAAAAAAAAATGGTTTGGGGAAAAGATATACTAATGATTGCCTAAAGAAATACTAGAAAGATATGGAAGAAACCAATAAAACTGGTTTTATTAGTGAAAGGGAGGTGGAGTGGGGAACAGGGTAGAGAGGCCCGAGGAAGGGAACAAACCTTCTCCATAAGTGTCTTTCTGTATCACCTTGATTTCTGAGCCTTATAAATATATTGAATGTCTTAACTATAGTAAAAAGTAAAATGAATTTAAAAAAATTCTCAATGAAGCACTTCTACTTTTTCCTCTTCCTGCACCACCGTCTAGGCTGGGCACCGGCCCCCGAATCCTGCATTCTGGTGGGTGGATGGTAAAGGCGCGGAGGTCAAGTGGAGCTTTGAGGAGCTAGGACATTGGTCCAGGAAGGCAGCCAACATCCTGGCGAGCACGTGTGGCTTGCAGCCCGGGGACAGAATGATGCTGGTGCTTCCACGGCTTCCAGAGTGGTGGCTGGCCAGCGTGGCTTGCATGCGGACAGGTCAGTGGGCAGGGCTGGGGTTCCAGTTAGGGAACCAGAGGCCCCGGGCATCCTGAGTGCCGTGTGGCATTCTGTCTGCCCAACCATCACCAACTTGACTGCAGCCAAGGGCAAGACCCCAAAGCAATACATAAAAGCAGGTCCTTTCATATGGGCCAAAGTGTAAGGAGCCTCTATGCTTTTCTTAAGCAACTGCTATGTGCCAGTCATGGGGTCAAGTGGTTGGCATGATCGAAATTTCCCTTTGGGTTGTTATTATTATTTTTTTGGTTACCTAAATTTCCTGTTCCTCCAATTGTATATAGTCATCCTTCTATTTGGGGTCCAAATAAAATAACCCCAAATCACAACAAATCCCACCATTATATGTAACTATAATGAACCAATAAAAAAAAAATGGGGAAAAAAAAGGCAAGAAAAAATAAATGGGCATAGCCCGTGGGTACAGCGTGGTGTAGAAGGTATGCTTAGCACGTGCCAGGCTCTGGATTCGAGCCCCAGCACCAAGTAAATAAATGGCAAATTGTTAAAAAGAACAAGGAAACCACACACCATGTTACCACGTCAAGTCTGACATCCTCTCCAACTCTTTAGAAGACACCCAAGCTGATGTCCTGTGCAGGTTACACCCATTTTCTCCTTATACTCTTTTGTCACCTCTCTTCCCCAAAGCACCACCACCAAAACCCTAGGTGGGACAGACTGCTACTGGAAAAAACTAACACGTGGAGGTGGACTGAGGAATCCCACTGGTTAGCTCCAAGTTGTCATGCTGGGCTCTAAACCCCGCAAAGGACAAGGACCCTGGTGGGGCTCTCGTGCTGCTTGTGACTGGCCCCTTCCTCTCTCTTCTGCCCTCAATAACTGGATGCGGCCAGGGGACAGATCTTTTAGGATCCGATTCCTCTCCTGTGTGAAATCAGAGTGTTGGGCTCCAGGAAATGTTGACCATGGACATTCTGAGCCTGGTTAAAATTGATGCCTGGTTTCTGCTTCCTCTCCTCTTCCCCTTGGGAGAGGATGGAATCAACTTTGGTTGAAGCCATATGAGGGGTCCGGGAACCCCCACCTCGTCCGTCCCTTACACCAGCAAGTAACCCACGCCCAACAGAAGGATGCATTGAGGTACTTCAATTAAAAGCACAGAAAACCCCAAACTCGGTGCTCTCTCAGGAAATACAATGCAATCAAGATCGTGGACTCTAAGATTTACGGCTGCTTGGCTTTGAACTCCAGCTTTACAACCTATTAGCTAGGTGCTCTTGGGCAAGTTATTTAATTTATTTAAGGCATACAGTTCTAAAACTTAGGGTTTTTTTTTTTAATCTACAAAATAGGTATCAAATAGCATGCACTTCCCAAGGTTCTGAGAATTAAATAAGATACATCAAGCTCCCCAGGAGCATTTTTGGATTTCTTTACCTCGTTACCGGCCCCTCTTCCAGCTCGGGCGCCCCAGTCCTCTCCTTCCTGTGACCATCTCTGGTTCCACACACGGGGTCTTCCCTGATGTTGAGCCAACGTCCTCTCTCTGTGTGTGATGTCAGGTGTTGTCATGATTCCTGGCGTCTCCCAGCTGACGGAGAAGGACCTCAAGTACCGGCTGCAGACATCCAGGGCCAAGTCCATTATCACCAGTGACGCCCTGGCTCCGCAGGTGGACGCCATCAGTGCTGACTGCCCCTCCCTCCGGGTCAAGCTCCTGGTGTCGGACAGCGGTCGCCCAGGCTGGATGAACTTCAGGGAACTCCTGCGGTGAGTCGAGGCTCCCTTGGACAATGACATTGACAAAGAAGGCATTTCCCCTTTAGCCAACAAGAGACCACAGAAGGCATTGCCGACTGCACACAAAGTGACTCAGAGAGCGACATTCACCTTGGAAGCCAGATGGTCTGAGATAGAATCCTTGAGACCATCTGAATGTTCCAGTCACTCCCTCAGTCAGTAATGAATGTGTCACTAGCTTTCCTATGCCTTGTTTTTTGTACACTGTTGGCAGTAGTTATTGGAGCTATCAGTGTGGAGGAGCTGACCTATGCCATGCATTCGGTACACAGCAGGTGGCCGATAGTAAAATAAGTGCATGTGCTTAGTGTATGCTAGGCACTGTACTAGGTAAGCAGTCACTTCCATTCCTTTGTGCAGGGAAAGGTTTAATGAACATCTATTTTGTGACAAGCTTTGTATTTGGTGCTCAGAACGCAGTAATGAATAATCTTGAAAAATACCTTAGAGTTGCAATGTCACACAATTTTACAGGTGAGGAAAAAAGATTTGCAAAAGTGAAGTGACCAACCCAAGATGCTAAAAAATAGTTTAATAAGTGTTGGGATGGAGCCACAGTCACATCTCCCCTGAAATAAGGACTTGGTGGAAGGCTCTCTGGGAATTTGAGACTATCCAGATTAGAGGCCAGCATCCAAAAGGGGGCCCTCAGAGACTGGAACTATCAAGTCACAAATGTTCGTCAGACCAGATTTCCCTGGGTTTTGTTTAAAATATGGACCCAAAGGTCCCATAGCTGACATATTTAACCAGACATGTATGAGCCAGAGCTCATGGAACCTGTATTTTTTTTTTTTAAATCAGCCCATGTGATTGTGATACATTGCCAGCTTGGCCCAGACCAGTGGTTCTCAATTGTAGTTATTAGTAGAATTTCCTGAGGAGCTTAAAAAGCATTGAGATTCTGATTTCATCTGTCCAAGGGGAGGGCCCAGGTAATGGTATTTCTTTTAAAAAACTTACCTGGGGATTCCAAGGTGCAGCCAGGGTTGAGAACCATGAACCACAAATTAGCTGATTCTCCAAATCACAAAACCTTGGAGATTAACCAAATCTCCAACCCCCAAGTTTGGGGAAACCTTTAGAAGTAGCTCTAAGTCCTTAGGAATTGAGGTGGGGATGGGGTCATGCCTAAAAGTGCTGAATTAGGCACATGGATATGCCAACCTCTCACTCCATGCTCCAAGAACAGGGGGCTCTTTGCGTGAGCCACTTAATCATGTCGGGCCCCAGTTTCCTTGTCTGCAGAAGGGTCATCATGAGAGGAGGTGGCTGTGGATAACCCGAGCTGCCACTCTCTTGAAGCAGCACCTCACATGTATTTATTGAAATGGTAAAGAAATATGGTCACTGTTCCCTATGTCCACTCTTGGGAGTTCCACCCCACGTTTTTACATTTTCCAGAGAGGCATCTGCAGAGCACACGTGTGTGCAGACCAAGAGTCGAGATGCCCTGGCCATCTACTTCACCAGCGGAACTACCGGGAACCCCAAGATGGTTGAGCACTCCCAGAGCAGCTATGGGCTGGGCTTTGTGGCCAGTGGAAGGTACTGGGCACGGCTTGTCTAGGGGGTGCAAGAGCAGAGCGTGGGTGAGTGAGCAGGGGTGTGTGAAGGGGAGAGCGGCAGGAACTGAGGTCAGAAAGCAATGAGAAAAGAGGGGTGCGGTGGCACAGGCCTGTAATCCCAGCAACTCTGGAGGCTGAGGCAGGAGGACCGCGAGTTCAAAGCCAGCCTCAGCTACTTAGCAAGGCTCTCAGCAACTCAGCAAGACCCTGTGTCTAAATAAAATATATTTTTTAAAAGGGCTGGGATGTGCCTCAGTGGTGAAGCACTCCAAGGTTCAGAAAGAAAGAAAGAAGGAAGGAAGGAGAAAGAAAGAGAGAGAAAGAGAAAAGGAAAAGAAGCAATGATAGTGCAAATCAGGTAGGGTCCTAGGGTGTTTGGACTTTATTCTGAGTAATGTGAAAAGCCACTGGAGGGTTTTATTTTAAAGTGTGGCAAAATATGTATGATATAGAATTTACCATTATTAAAAAAATAATTTTAGCCAATACATAGAATCGTACCTATGTACCATGTGACATTTCCGTACACAAATATGTTGTGGAATGTTCAAGTCATGGTAAACCTATCCACATCCTCAGACGCTTATCATTTATTTATAATGAAAACATTCAAAATCCTTTCTGCTAGCCAAAGTTAGCACTTTAAACATTTTAAGTGTATCATTGAATATCGTTACCATACTCACATTTTTTTTACAACCATCACTACCATCTATAATTTTTAAAATAGATTTCAAAACAGAACCTCCACTTAGCAGGCAATAACTGCCCTCTTCCATCTCCCCAACCTCCCAGATATACATGACAGTAGAGTGTGGGTTTTTTTTAATTTAATTTTTTTTATTTTTTGTACTGGGGATTGAACCCAGGGGTGCTTAACCACTGAGCCCCATCTCCAACCCTTTTCTATATTTTATTTAGAGACAGGGTCTCCTCCCTGAGTTGCTTAGGGCCTCGCTAAGTTGCTGAGGCTGACCTTGAATTTATGAGCCTCTGGCCTCAGACATATCATACACACATGGAGTATAACTTACTCCAATTAGGAGCCTACTCTTGTTCTTGTACTTTCCATCTGTATGCATCTGACCACTCCAGGTACTTCATGTAAATTTGCCTTTATGTAATATTTGCTCTTTGGTTTTGAAACTTGGCTTCTCTCACTTAGCATGGTAAGTTTCAGCCGTTTTGTAACAAGTGTCAAAATTTCCTTACTTTTTTAAGGCTGAAAAAATATTCCATGGTGGGCACAGGAAACATTTTTTAGATGCGCTCATCTGTTGGTCGACACTTGGGACACTTCTACACTTGAGCCATTGTTTGTTGTCATGAATGTTGCTGTGGACACAGGTGTGCAAATATCTGTTCAAGTCCTTGCTTTTAATTCTTGGGGGAGACACACTCAGAAACAGAATGGCTCAATCACAGAGCAATTCTATATTTGATTTTTTTTTTTTAAGAAACAGAAAATTTTGAATGGAAGAGTGACACAATATGCCTTTGTGCTGTTTTTCTAGAGGCTCACTCACTATGTTGGGTTGATGATAAATGCCAGGAACAAAGGGTGACAGGAGGGTCAAGGAAGGGGCTGGTGCATTAAGAGGAAAGGGTGTTGATCGTCCAGGGGAGCCGTAGCCACAGGGTGAGAACAGAGAAGATTCCCAGTGTGTTCTGAATATAGATATAGGGAGATTTGCTGACTGTTTCAACGTGGAGTGAGAGAGACAAGGGTCAAGGATAACGCTGAGTTGTATGGCAATCAATGAAATGGAGAAGATGTTGGAATGAGCCTGCCCGTGGGAGGAAAACCCGGAGTCAATTTTCAGCACTGGAAACTTGAGAGGCGCATTATGCATCTCCATAATTAGTTAAAAGTGGAGATGTTGAGGAGGCATTTGGATCAGCATGTCTAAAGTCGATGAAAAAGAGATTGGATGAGATCAGCAAAGAGTTAGGTACATTGAGAAGAGAGAGACCTGTCATTTTAACTCTGTACCACTAGCCTAGATCATAGGTAGATAAAAGACGCTCAATGAATGTTTGTTGAGATAATAGTGGACTTGTGCAGATCTGATTGATCAGGGCTCCAAATAAGGAGACCTGGGTCATGTAATCCCTTGTAAAGTCAGAGGCATTGCTGGGGGTGCTGATTGTCCCTGTGTTTGACAGGCAGTGGGTGGCCTTGACCGAATCAGACATCTTCTGGAACACCACCGACACTGGTTGGGTGAAGGCAGCCTGGACTCTCTTCTCTGCTTGGTCTAATGGATCTTGTATTTTTGTGCACGAACTGCCTCGGGTTAACGCCAAAGTCATCCTAAATGTAAGAGACTTTTATGTCTTTGGTGTAAACAAGGTGAGTGTGGTGTCGATTTCAAGGCTGTAGGAGAAAACGCACCAACCGGTGACCATAGGCTTCCTTCCTGCTGATGTTAACCAGGAAGTCTCCCAGGACCTCCTGAGGTCCGGTTCCTCACCACCTGGCTGTCTTCAATCACTGGTTATGCTCAATCTAGATCCCTAGATATAAATAAGAGCATCTCTCTAGACCTTTGCATATCTTATCTTTTTCTGCCTGGGTTGCTTCTCTCTCTCTACCATCTTCTTTTTTATCATCCTGTTGAGACCCTAGTTATTAGTCAAAATCTTGGGTAAAATCAAAGTCTGCTTCCCAATTCCAAATGCTGCTGTCCCTACTGCTCATTGGGTGTCTTTGCCCAAGTATAGACCTGAGGACTCCTGCCCAGCCTCCAAGGGTCTTCTCATAGGGAGGGAGAATTGATCCTCCCAGTGAAGAAATAGGGCTGCTTTCTTCTGTTCTCCACATCCTAACTGACATTCCCTAAAACATCAGAAGACCCATCTGCCCATACTCTGCATGGATGCAAGCTGTATCACGTGGTGACTAATGGCACACACTGTGCCATTGGTCAGACCTGGACTGTCATCTTACGTCTTCTCTTAGCTAGCAGCGTGGCCTTAGGAAACTCACCTAGACTCCTTAAGTCTCAGTCTCCCCATCTGAAGCACAGAAAGGGATAACATAGTTATATCAAGTGTTCATAAGAATAAAGTGATTCCAGGAACATAGTACATGCTTTACACATGTTAGTTATTATTATCAATCAAACTCATCCGCATCATTATTTACGTAGGACTTGATCAGACAATACGTGTGTCTTCTCCTTCCATTGCCTCCAGCCCTGACATAGCGTACTCATTATCTTTTGCTATGTAGTAAATCAACCCCAAATTTATAAGCTTAAAACAGAAACATTCGTTCTCTCATGGTTTCTAAAGTCAAGAATCTGGAAGTAGCTTAACTAAGTGGTTCCAGAGCAGCAGCTCTCCTGAGGCTGTAGCCAAGATGTCAATGAGGTACCACAAAGCTCTTAGCATTATTATTATTAATGTTATATGTATATATTCAAATATATTCAAATATATATATATATATATATATATATATATATATATATATATATATATATTTGTAGATGGACACAATACCTTTATTTTATTTTTATGTGGTGCTGAGGATCAAACCCAGTGCCTCACATGTGCTAGGCAAGCACTCTGCCCCTGAGCCACAACCCCAGTTCCTAAGCAGCATTATTAACAGTAACTAAAAGGTATAAGTAACCCAAATGTCCCTCAATGGATCAGTGAATAAAGAAGATGTTGTATGAATATTATTCGGCCTTTAAAAAGAAGGAAATTCTGAGATGCCATAACATGGTTGAGCCTTGAGGACACTGTGCTAAGTGAAAGAATTCAGGCATAGAAGAACAAATACTATGATTCCACTACCATCAGGTCCTTAGAGTAGTCAGATTCATAGAGACAGAGTGTAGGAGGTGGCTACCAGGAATTGGGGCAGAGGGTCATGAGGAGTTATTGTGTAATGGGTACAGAGTTTCCATTTGGAAAGATAAAAAGATAAAAAGAATTCTGCAGATAGTTGACGGCCACGGTTGCTCAACAATGTGGAAATAAATACTCAGTGCCAGTGAACTGTACTCTTAAAATGAGGAAATCTTCTGTTGTGTGTATTTTGCCTCAGTAATAATTTTTTTAAAAAATATGATCTAGGATTGTAGTCATCTCAAGGCTTGATCGAGTCTGGAGAATCTGCTTAAACACTGGCTTGTGATTTTCAGCAGATTTTCACTGGCTTTGGGTCAGAGGCTTCCGTTCCTCATTTGTGTACTCCTCCACAGGACTGCTTGAGTGTCCTCACAGCATGGTGATTTGCTTCTTCCAGAGAGAGTAATCCAAGAGAGGCAGAAAGAGTGAGAATATTTAAGACAGAGGCCATCCTCTTCATAGAACCTAATCTCAAAAGTAATATCTGGCCCCTCAACAGAATTCTGTTGGTCCCACAAACCAATCATGGTGCCATGTGGGAAGGGACCCCACAAGGGCACAAATACCAGGAGAGGGAGATCATTAGAGGTTACCTTGGAGGCTGGAGCCGGGTACCACACATGGTTTCATACTTCTTTCTTCAATAATGAGGATATGAAGACCCAGTTCACTGATCCCTTTTCTATGAAGTTCCACCCCAAGGACTCTAAGATCTTCACCTGTTGTTTTTGTTTAGACTCTCTCCAAGTTCCCGATAACCACCCTTTGCTGTGTCCCAACCATCTTCCGCCTGCTTGTACAGGAGGATCTGACAAGGTACAGCCTGTCAATTTGGTGCTTTGAGGGCCAAAGAATGTGAATATATGTAACCCCACCCTCTCATTCCAACTCTGTCTCTGTGTCTCTATCTTTTTGTCTCTGTCTCTCTTTTTCTGCCTCTATCTATGTCTATTTGTCTCCTGTCTTCATTTCACACACACACACACACACACAAACACACACACTCTCACAAGAATACACACTCATATCCCTTGTAGACACTATTCAAAGATGATTTTCTGGATCCCAGGAATGTATATCCAAAAGGAATTAAATAGATTTAAGGCAGTCTGACATTCCAACACTTGACATTGGCTTTCTTCCCTCCGCAACGTGTCTGTTTTTATCTGTGAGGGCAGAGAAATTGTTGAGTTATTATTTACCACCTATGGAATGAGCCTATAGGTCTGGTGGGACTAACAAGCCTACCATAGTGGGTCTTCCATCTCCCAACCCCAGACTGACCCAAGTCAGCCATTCTTTAGATACCAGCTCGAGACGCTCGAGAGAAGGTGACAAAATACTGGATGGCTGTCCTGGGTGAATCCAAAGCAATGTCGACTAGAAGGCAGAGCAAGTTGCTGGGGTACCAGAGAATTCCCTCACCCCTCAGTAACATACCAATTCTAATCTGTCTTTCTCTTCACCTACCCCTTATCTTCCCTTGTCACACTCTGGCTCTGAAGTGCCTAAAGAGGGAGATCTTACTTGATTCTCAAAGTATGAAATGTAAGAATTCATTCCATTTATCCATCTACTGGACAGCACCACATTATGATTTTAGCTGAAAACAGGTTCTGAGTAATTTGTTCAAAAGGAATTTGGTCAAATGGTACTAATCACCACAAGCACTGTGATAACTCTAAGTACTCAGTATTTAGTGCTTAGTTATACTAAGTAACTCAATCCATCCAATTTGATCCAAAGGGGGGAAAATGATTAAAAAGTATATTTGCAATCACTGGTTTTTTTAACACTTCAGAAAATTTGCTGAGCTGAGAGGTTGCTTTTCAACTTAATATCTTTAGAAATTTTTGAACCATTGGAGATTCTCAGAGAACCACTTTTTATCTTCTCAATTTTAATTTTTTTGATCTTTTTCAATCCAGTAATTCTGTCAATCACTTTATTATCCATCAGTTTGTTTCTAGCTAAATTATTCTGGCAAATTTACCTGAAACTCACTCATGTGATGCCCAAATTAGTAGGTTCTGTTTTTTTTTTTTTTCCAAACTCAGTTAAGAATGAATTTTTTAAAAAAATTATCTGTCCCTGAGGAACATACTTGGAAAGCCAGAGGGTGGGGTCCCTGGGGAAGATTCTAAAGCAGGGACGTTTACTCCCTAGTGCTTGGGGCGGGGTATGGACTGGGCCACACTGCTGGCAGGTGTTGTGGGTGGAAGTGGGGGTTATAACCCAGGCCACCCGTCTTCTCACTTGTGAAAGATACCAGTTTCACAGCCTGAGGCACTGTTTGACTGGAGGAGAGGCCCTCAACCCTGATGTGAGGGAGAAATGGAAGAACCAGACGGGCCTGGAGCTTTACGAAGGCTATGGACAGTCCGAAACAGTGAGTGCTGTGCGGCCAGGTCCCCGCCCCAGTTCACCACCATCTGAGCTCTCAGTCCAGTGGACAAGATCCCTGGCTCCATAGCTCCTCCTGCCTTTCTGTCTGTCCTTTCTCTGATACCTGTCAGGACGGCCCTGTCCCCAGGGCAGAAACACTGCTAGCAAAACTCCATCAGCTAGAACCTTTGGGTTTAGAGGTAACTTCACAACTACTCCATGACCAGTAAGCCAGCTCTCCTGGCCAAGGGTGTTGTCTGTCCCCATGGGAACAGCCTACATGTGTTTTGGGGAGAGCCCCAAATCCTAAGAGGCAACTTCTATAGTCCTCAGGGTAGAGATGTGAAGATCAATGGAATCCTTCAGCTTAGTTATACATTAAGTTCTTGATGTGCAGATGCCCATTCGAGAGCTCCATAAATGAATGTCCCCGTGGAAAGAAGACAGAAGGAAGGCAGGAAGGAAGGAAGGGGAGGTGAAGGGAAAGGAAGAAGAGGGGATAGGAGTGAGGAAGGAGAAAGGTGTGGTTGTCAGCTTTACAGCTCTGTGACCAAAACACCCAATGAGAACAACCTAGAGGAGGAAAAGTTTATTTTGGCTCATGGTTTAAAAGGTTCAGTCCATGGTTGGCCAAACCCATTGCTCTGGACCCAAGGTGAAGCAGAACATCATGGTGGACAGGCGATATGGAGGAAAGCTGCGTCCTTCATAGCAGCCAGGAAGCAAGAGAAGGAAAGGAGAAAGGGTACAGGGAAGATGCGCCCTTCTGGGGCACACCCCCAGGGACCCACCTGCCTACAGTCACCATCCAGACAGTCCATGCAAACGAGGGTGGGCTGACTAGGTTCCAGTTCTCACGATCCAGTCATTTCACCTCCGAAGATTCCTGCATTAGGACAGGGGCTTGGGGGGTGGGGGACACCTTCTATCCAAACCATAACGGAAGGAAAAAAGGAAAGGAGAGAAGTGAGAGAGAAAAGTGAAGAAGGAGAAAGGGAGTGAGGTTGAGGCTCCTTATGGGCTCTGGTTCCTTCCAGGTTGTAATCTGTGCCAATCCGAGAGGCTCCACCATCAAGGCTGGGTCCATGGGGAAAGCCTCCCCACCTTACGACGTGCAGGTAGGCCATCTTGGTCACAGCGGGTGAGGAGCAGGATGCATGGACCCGCTGGGCACAGGCTGGGCTGGCGGGCGGCCTGGCTGTGCGGGTGCCCAGACACCACCCTGTGATCTTTCCACCAGATTGTGGATGACGAGGGCCACATCCTGTCCCCAGGAGAAGAGGGGAATATCGCTGTGCGCGTCAGACCCACCCGGCCCTTCTGTTTCTTCAACTGCTATCTGGTAAGAGACAGGGACGGCCACTCTCTCAGCAGTGACTGCGTGCCCAGCCTTGTGCAGCACATTTTATAAATATTTTTAACCCTTGAGGTCGTCATAGGGAGTAGGTTGCTCCTGTTGTCAACGAGATCCTGTTACTGATATGGAAAGTGACTCAGAGAAGTGACATGCAGGTTGTACACACAGGTCGTGGGTTTCAGCGTTTGAAAGTGACATGCAGGTGGCCTCATTTTAAGGATGAGAAAATTCAAGTTCCAGGGAGGGGAAAGAACTTACCAAAGGTGAAACTGCAATTTTGTTTCAGAGCTGAGTTTTGGGGGTTCTCCTTGTGGTTTGCTGCTAAGGTTTCAGGTCCTGGGATTTCAGATCCAGTTTCTGAAATAAACTAGTAGCTAACTTTTCTTTATACCCACTTTGGCTGATATTTATTGAAAGAACGATCAAGGCTTGGTGCCCATTTATTGAGGAACAGCTCTGCATATTTATAGAGCCGGGGGCGGTTTGACAGTTATGACAGTTTAATGGTTTAACGGTTTGACAGTTGGCTGGGGTGCTTTCTGATTGGTGGGTAAGGATCATGTGAGCCAGCAGGGCTAGTCTGATTGGTGGGTAAGGATCATGTGAGCCAGCAGGGCTAGTCTGATTGGTAGGTAAGGATCATGTGAGCCAGCAGGGCTAGTCTGATTGGTAGGTAAGGATCATGTGAGCCAGCAGGACTCACCATTGGATGGCTCTTCTTGGGGGATGGGGAAGTTAGTCTTTGGAGCCCAGGCAACTCCCAACATTTATGATGGATTTTTCTCCTAATTCTTTAACATGAAACTCTCAAACCTGGCTGTGCATTAAAAAAAACAAACAAATAAAACAAAACAAAAAAAAACCCTGGGAAGATTCAGCTATTACTGATGATTGTGTCCTACCTCAGACTAATTAAGTCAAAATTTTGGATGCTGTGGGTCAACTTCCCAGGGGATTCAAATGTGTGGCCAAGGTTAAGAACCACTGCTAAAATAGTCAGTCTTTTTGGTCACTGTGACTAAAATATGAAAAAATCTTAAAGAAGGAAAAGTTTATTTTGGCTCGTGGTTTCAGGGGTTCAGTCCATGATCAGCCGACTCCATGGCTCTGGGCCCAACGTGAAGCAGAACATCATGGAGAAGAATGTGGTGGGAGAACGCGGTTCAGGACACGGCAGGCAGGAATCACAGAGAGGTCCACTCACTAGGGACAAAATGTGAACCCCAAAGGCACCCCCCCACCCCCCGTGATCTAGCTCCTCCAGCCACCCCTGGCACTGCAGGATTAATCCACTGCTTAGGTTGAAGCTCTCAGAAGCTCATCACTTCACCTCTGAACCTCCTTGTCTCCTCTGGCACCTGAGTCCTTGGAGGATACCACACACCCAAACCATAACAACTGCTTTATAGAAATTCCATCTCATGCACATACTCAGCTGTCCCTCAGCAGAAAGAAGCAGATAAAAATCAGTCAATTTGTTTTCGTGATGTTGTATTTTAGGGTTTTTATGTCAGTACAAGAGAATTTTTTTTTTTTGCTTTATTTTGTTTAAAATAAATTTACTTCTCTGCTGGGGTTGTGGCTCAGCAGTAGAGCGCTTGCCTAGCACGTGAGAGGCCCTGGGTTCAATCCTCAGCACCACATTAAAATAAAGATATTGTGTCCAACTACAATTAAAACATAAATATAAATGAACTTACTTCTAAATGTAATAATCATGCTAAGCAAGAATAAGGTTGAAATTTTAATACACTTCCTTCTAATATTTTTGTAAGCAGTGAATTAACATTCTTGGAAAAATTGTTCATTATTTATTGAATGTCTGCTCCATGCCTCTAGGGTATACAGTGGCACTCATGGAGTTCACATAACACATCTCTCTGGGTCTGTGACTACTCCATTGAGGGAGTACTAAAGTAATTTTTGAAGTCATTTGCAGGACCAGAAGAACCTCCACTTTCTGTGTATTTTCCTTTCCATCACCCACACCAAAAACTAATTTTCTTTCCATGTCATTAACTAAGAGAAAAATGTGAAATCTTTTTATGAGAATCATGGCATAGGGGAAAATTAATAGAAAATGTCACACTCTAGGGTTGCTTTGTGAATAAAGGAAATTCAGCAGGATTGACAGGCTAAGCACACTCTGCACCCACAATAAGTATGCACATTTCAAAGTCCTGTTGGCCATTACCAAATAGCTGAAATTGCACATGTCAACATAATACACCTAGGTCTGCCAGGTTTCTGTTCTCATGACTAAAAGGCTCAGGGGTCACTCCAGGTAAACTGGGCTAACTGGGCTGCACGAAATAACCACACAAGAGACACAAATACCTTTTTCTTTGGGGTGGCTGTGATGGCTCCTCTGACCTTAAGGGTCTGCAGAAAGAGAGCGAGAGCACACGCGCTGACCCCTTTTATTGAGGAGAAGCTATTCAAATGAGGCAAGGGGTCAGGTTTCAGGGGGCTGAGTCTATCTTCATGATGTCCACTGTCAGCAGGTTGACTGACACCTGGGTAGGCCAACCCAAGGGCACAGTAAGAGAAGGGGACACACACAAGGCACTTCCATGGAAGATTCTATCCTAAACAGGGCAAGGGGTTATATTACAAAGGAACAGGTGAGCATAGCTTCACCCATGGGGCTGTAGCAAGACACACCCATGCACGAGACACCGACCCTCGCACCCAAGAAGGGTGGAGAAAGCTCTGCCACATTTCTGTGACTGAGCGCCTCAGCACCCAGCCGGGGAGTGTGACCCAGTCACGTACAAGGTTGGTCTCCCACATAGGTCCATTTTATGTCTAAGATAAGGAATAGACTTGCTTTCCTAGGGAAAGAAACCGAGAGTGCAGATATCCACTCCAGTGTTGTTCAAAAGAGACAAAGGTGGAGTTCATCACACCTAGTCGACAATCTCTCCTTCTTACTCAACTTCTTTAAAAGTACCTTACCTAGTCTTCGGCCTCCCATACACTTTAGAATCCCCTTGCCGAGTTCCATGAAAATGTCTGTTAGCATTTTGGTTGGAGTTGCATTGAATCTATAAATCAACTTGGGGACAATTGACATTTCTGTTAATGTTTTCTATATTTCCATTTATTGATATCTTCTTCAAAATTCTGCAGAGTTTTAAGTTTTCTCTGTGTATATCTTACAGTTTGTATTAATTTTAGGCATTGATAGATTTTTTTTTTTGCTTTTTTTCCCCTTCAAATTATATTTGCTCATCTATTTATTGTGGTGTGGGTCTTGAACCCAGGGCCTTGCGCATGTGAGGCAAGCATTCTACCAACCGAACTGTATCCTCAGCCCTCAAAGTCTATTTTTTGAAAGGGGTATAATTTACCTGAAATAAAATGCACTCAAGTTAAGTATGCAGGTCAGTGACTTTTGACAAATATGTACACCACTGTCACCACCACCAGAGTCACTTGTGGAACGTTGTATGGTCACCCCAAAATTCCCTTGTGCTCCTTTGCCATTAATCCTCCCTACCCCAGACTGCTGGCAATTGGTAAATTATTTATTGTCACTATAGAATAATTCTGCCATTAAGAAAAGAAATTTATATGATGTGGCATCATAAAACATTCACTCTTGCAAGCCTGGCCTTTTATGCCCAGCATACGTGTGGGCCGGTCACCTAGGTTATTGTATTTATTAGTAATCTGTGTCTTTTTTAATTGTCCATTAGCTTTTTATTTAAAAGTTTGAGAATCACAGTTTGACTTCTTTTTCCTTCCTGGGCCCTTGCCTCTCCCCTGTGGATTCTTCTTCCCAATCCCCAAGCCGGGCGCAGTGGCACACACTAGCCCCAGTGGATTGGGAGGCTGAGGCAGGAGGATCGCGAGTTCAAAGCAAGCCTCAGCAAGGATGAGGTGCTGAGCTACTGCTTTCTACCTCCTACCCTCAGTGTGCTCTTTTTAAGCCAGTGGCCCTGTCAACTGTGCCTCCTAGCACCCTTCTAAAGGTGGCGATGGTGGCTGCCCTGGATCCTTCCTGGAAGCTTCCTTCCAATTAAAAGAGGGAAAACCTACAAATTCCCAGGCCTATAGCCACCTGCTGTGGGGGCAGTTTGGGCCAGCGTGGTCTTGGGGACGGCTGGACTTGCTGTTGGGGCTCTCCAGCTTCCTGCATGGGGCTTCTGGGACAGTCAAGAAGCCACACCCTGGGTGGCTGTGCAGAATGTCCTTCATGGACTTCCCTTGTCTTTCAGGACAATCCCGAGAAGACGGCGGCCTCAGAACGAGGAGACTTCTACATCACAGGGGACCGAGCCCACATGGACAAGGACGGCTACTTTTGGTTCATGGGAAGAAGCGATGATGTGATCAACTCTTCGAGGTCAGTGCGTCTACTCTTTCCTCGTTCCTCTGAAATTCCTTGGGGGGGAGGGGAGCCATCTGGAAGTCTCCTTTTCTCTTCCAGCTACCGAATTGGACCTGTGGAGGTGGAGAGCGCGCTTGCCGAGCACCCCGCTGTGCTGGAGTCTGCCGTGGTCAGCAGCCCAGACCCCACCCGGGGGGAGGTGAGCAGGCCTGCCCAGACACGGCCTCCTGCTTCTGTCCCACATTCCCCTGTCCTCACCCCGCCCAGGAACACAAAGTTGAAAGGCCACCAACAGATACACACTCTTTTTGATTAAGCATTGGCCTCGTGCCTTCAGAGATACAGAAAATTTCTAGAGGGTCGCATAGAGAAAATGCCACACTATCGTTTTAAGTGGACATTGAACTGGATCCTAAGGACGCTGACTATGGGACCAGAGATCTTGGTGACAGGGACAGGCTCTGTCATCCATCCTATCCAGTAAATGTTTCTTCCTCCTCACAGAGGAGCAAACAGCAAGTACACCAGACAGGTTACTGTCAGCTGTAATCCAGGAGGGACAGTCAACTTGAGGATGACAGCATATGTATATGTGTAGCAAGAGAAAAATGAGCCAATGTTAATAAGCTTGGTTTTCACCGGATAAATGTGAATTGCTTTTTGTGGGTCCCAGAGAAACAGACAGAATGGGAAGGATGAGCTTAAATGCAGACCCATGTACTTTTCACTGGCTGTAAATCCAAAATAATGCTTCAGTACAAAGCAGTTATCTTCTTTTTATTTTCTTTTTTCTTTTTTGGGTACTGGGGATTGAACTAGGGGCACTCGACCACTGAGCCCCATCCCCAGCCCTATTTTGTATTTTACTTAGAGACAGGGTCTCACTGAGTTGCTTAGGACCTCGCTAAATTGTTGAGGCTGGCTTTGAACTTGCCATCCTCCTGCCTCAGCCTCCCAAGCCGCTGGGATTAGAGACGTGTGTCACTGCTCCCTGCCAAAGCAGTTACCTTATGGAAGCTTTGCTTCACCTTGCCTTTTTAGAAGCACCAGGGCCGGAGCATTAATTCTCACAGTGGTCCCTGGCATGTTCACAGCTGCGTCATCTGGGGCTCTTATTTAAAATTCAGCCTTAAGATCTCAAGTCAGAGCTGCTGAACGAGGCCAGCAGGGGATGCCTCCCAGAGCGTCTGCATGTGAGCCGGCCTCCCCTTGCCAGGCAATTCCTCCCTCCATATCATTTGAGTCCACTACTATGGAAGGAGGGAGGTGTGAGTCCCATCTGTGGGCTGGAGAGATGACACCTAGAAAACCGTGCCTTGCCCTGCCTGCTGGGAATTAACTGATCTGTGACCAAGGGCTGCCTGCTCCAAGCTCATCCGTGTGCGGTTCTTAGAATGCAGCTTGGCACAGAGCAAGTGTGCATTGTTATCACAGTACAGGAGAGCCCTTCCTCAAAGCCAGCTCTACCAGAACGTGAAATCCCAGGGATCTTCCCACCCTGGAAGCATGGAGGGACAGTGATATTGTTGGCCGAGTTTCACACGGGCATGGACTAACTGCCAAGTGGACTTATCAGAAAGCATGTTTGGTTGTGTCTGAGTTTGGGACACAACCAAACTCCTCCTCCTTGGCAGTAGACACCTTGTGGGAGAAACCTGGACAGGAAAAGCCAAGGTGCAGAATGTCCCTGGGGATAGACCTGGACCAGAGGCCGTCCAGCTCCATATTGGCAGACATGCAGCCTCTGAAGGACCCTCCTGCCCTTGAAGGTAGCCATTTCTCTCAATCCTGCCCGAGCAGACTCATGCCTCACTCTCAGGCAGGAAAACCTGGAAGTAAATGGTCTCCAACGTGTTGGCGTCTTAGGAGAAGCAACGTCGGTTCCTCTGGTGTCACTCAGGGATAGGGACTAGTCTAAGAACAAACAGGGCTCTGAAGCCATTCCCCGAGAGCCAATGCTTCTAACTGTGGATCCTGGAAAGGAAGGTGACAGAAAAGTGGGTGTTGTCTATTTCACTGGACGTGCCCACGCCCTGGCAAGTGCGAGTGCTCCTTCACGAGGCTGAAGCGTGGTTCTGGGAGGCTTGACCCCTGCTGTTTCCCCCCTGCAGGTGGTAAAGGCGTTTATAGTTCTTTCTCCCACCTACTCCTCTCACGACCCAGAAGCACTAACCCGGGAACTCCAGGAGCATGTGAAAAGGGTGACCGCCCCCTACAAGTACCCCAGGAAGGCAAGTGTCTGGAATTCTGGGGGAACGAGAAGGGTGCATGCTGGGCCAGGTTCCGTGCCCGGTACTGGGGAGCCGGAAATCCATACACCCCCAGATGCTGGCCTGTTTCTTCAATGGCCCTCCCTGAAGCCCATTTTGTTCTTACCCTAAGATTTGACCTTTAACCCGGATGCAGAGGGTGGTGCTGAAATGCTGGCAGCCCCAGTGCTACAGGGCCGGGCCCTGTTGATGGCCATCACTTGGGGAAAACCCTGACTCATGGGAGGTTTCCTGTGTGGTGGCAGAAGGTGACGACCCCAGGCAGAAGTCTCCTGGGGGAAATGATGGTTTCTAAGTGTTTTTTTTTTTTTTCTTCTTTTTGTTTTGGGCCCCTAGGTGGCTTTTGTTTCAGAACTGCCGAAGACAGTTTCTGGAAAGATCCAAAGGAGTAAACTGAGGAGCCAAGAATGGGGGAGATGAGGTGCCACCCCAGAAAGGCCCCAGAAGGACCTGGTGGGGTCACTGGTCAGCCCCTGCTTGGAGCATCGTCCTGACAACTTCACAGACATCAACGACACTCAGCTTCCAAGGGGGCATCTCCAGAACCACTGGATACTCCTAGAAACAACAGAGAACGTCACTGACCCAGAGCACAGAGCCAGGCCCGGTCTAGCAGGGCTCAGCGGCTCAGGTCCCCCTCTGTCCAGCTGTTCTCGGCATCTTCCTGAAGTGGCACCCCCTTTGTCCACAGAAAAGCCCTCTTAACCAGGGCTGATTTTAGGACTGTCAGCAAAAGAGTTCAATGTAGATAAACTTCCTATTTTCATGTCGCCCTGTTTACTTGGCCACTGACCGAGAAGATACCAGCACTCCAGGTGCTGGACACCCCCTGACTAGTTTTTCACAAACATATCCAGTATAGTAGTTTGTAGAAATATGCAAATAAGGCCTCTGGCCTTGAGCTGGGCTTCCCAGAGATGTCTACATTTTTAAGAGAAGTTACAACTGGGCTCCATGGTAACAGCTGGCAGGGGGAGGAAAGAAAGGGGAGAAGAAGCTCTCCCCTTCTCAGGTGTTGTCCTTGAAGGGTTAACTTGCCCAGAACAGTGAAAGAAAAAGCTGCTTTTATGTGAACTTCTGCAGACTGGGAACTTCTGAGCCCCTCCCCTTACACGCTGGGTAGAAAACTCTGAAACTCCCTGAACTCGGGGTTCAGGAGATTGATTGATTACAGCAAAAGCTGTGCCCCCTGAACCTGGCTGCAGCCAAATAAAACCGTTTCCTGCTGTCTTCGGTGCCTTGCCTCGTCTGTCCCTACAACATTCCCACCGGTCCCTACAAAATGCAGTCAGCATGGCCTAGGGGTGCTTGGGGTCTCCTTCCCTGCCAGTGGGAGAGTAAAGGGTTAACCCTTTAGATGAAGCCATTTGGTCCTATATCCAGACCATAAAATTGACCATTCCTTTTAGCTTAGAAATTCCATCTTTGGGAATTAATATAAAAAGAAAGGATTCAAAATGTAGAAAATATTGGGTGCACCAAGATGTTTGCCATGGCATTGTTTAAAACTGAAAAAAAGAAATCAGTGTCAAAGCCATAGGGGAATGATTACATCACAGTCACTGGATAGCTTATTTTGTGGCCACTGAAATATTGAAGGAAATGTACCATGTTTGGGAAAAAGCATAAGCTATGTTAAGTTTGCAACATTGGAATGAAAACCATTGCAGACTGGAGAATCACAGCTCTGAAAAACAAATGGAAGAAAATACATTCACATATCAGTGACGATTTTCCTGAGAATTGAGGAGAAAGGGAAAATAACATTTTTTTTCTCTTTTCTTGATATATTCCTGTATTTTCCAAGATATCTTATTAAGTAGATATAACTATTTTAATGAAAAAGTTATTTTAAAGAAACCATCTTTTCGAACCACTTCCTGCCCCATGTCTAGTTCTTCCTTTGCACACCAACACTGTGTCCTGGAGTTCCAGTGTCCTACATCTGACCTTGGAAGAAGGCAGAGACCTGAAGCCAATGTCCGGGAAGGTGGCTCTGGAAGGCAGAGAGGAGCCACATGCAGGAGCAGCTGATGGAACCGGGTGTCCCCCACCTGACTCCCACACCTACAGCCACTCTCTGGTACATATTTATTGAGCACCTACTTAGTGCTGGGATCCAGGAACATGATCACAAGGAAAAACCAATGCAGTCCCTACCTGTGGGAGTTTTCTACGGCTGCCATCACCAGGTGCCGACTACAGGGAAGCCCAGACAGCACAGGTGCCTTTCCTCACAGTTCTAGAAACTACAAGTCCAAGATCAAGGGGTCAGCAGTTGGTTTCATTCTGAGACCTCTTTTCTTGGACTGCAGATGGCCGTCTTCTCCCCGGGTCTTCATGTGATCTTTTCTCTGTGCTTTCAGTCCTGTGTCCCAGTCTCCTCTTCTTCTAAGGACACCTGTCATGTCCTATTGGACAAGGGACTCATGATCTCACTTTATCACCTCTGTAAAGGCCCTGTCTTCAAACACAGTCACATTCTGAGGTCCTGGGCGCTGGGGCTTCAACTTGCCGATAGAGGAGGACACGGTTCAACCCCAGCACTGCTCTTGCAGAGCGTAGTCTAGTGGGATGCTGGTGTTATTTATTGCATAATAATGGAGATCAATGCACACTGTGTTAAATGCCACGTCGGAAACAGACTGTGGACTCAGAAGGGTCTTGGGGTCTTGGGAGAAACTTCCCTAAGAAGTTTCTGGTAACCTGGGATTGAAGGAAAACTGCAAATAATGTCAGTAAAGAGATAGGCAGTTAGCTCTCTGGACAGAGGACGCAGGCTGGGGGAAAGGCCTTGGGGTGGGAAGGAGAGACTCGTGTTTCCCAAACAGTTCACGCACACTCAGGAAGAAACAGTCACATCCACGCACCATCCTGAGGGTTTCAGCCTCAGGTATCTCCTGGGTAGGCGCTGATTGCATCCCATTCCATAGATGGGTCAGAGAGGCCCAGCAACGTGCTGAAGGTCACACAGCCAGCATCTCGCAGGGCTGGAAATCAAGCCAGGAGGCCCAGCTTTGGCATCCACACACTTCGCCTCTTACGAATAATTCAGGGTGGCTCAATTGAAGAAACTGGTTTATCCATAAGCTGAAATTTTAAATATTTCTTTAAAGGATAAATGTATTGAAGCAATTTATTTGGTTGGTTGGTCGGTTGGTTTTGTGTCATTTGTCTTTTGGGCCTTCCGGAGCCAGGCAAATTCTCTTGGTTTTAAAGGTAGAACCTTGAGGGTTTGGGTGCTTTGCCCAAGGCCAACAGTAGGGGGAGCCAGAGGCAAGGAAAACCTGCAAGCTCAGCCACTGACAGCTTCAGGGCTCCTGGCCAGCGGGGTTAGAGTCAAGCAGAGGAGGCTGCTAGGATTCCTGAGCCCCCAGATTGTTAGGGGGCTAAGCTGTCTCTGCTACATGTCTTTGTCCCCGGGAAGCCGAGAGGCTTGGATGGAAATGGCGGCTGGGGGACGTGGCTCACAGCGGCCCCAGCAACATCTAGCTGATTGGCTCCTCTGCGGTGATGCTCATTGGGCTGTTTCCCTGCCCTTTCAGACCACGGAGCTGCTCATTGGGGGACTTTTTTGGCTCCGCCCACGTGACCCAGCCAATCGGCCTCAAGAGCAGGAGGATTGTGGGAGGTGGAGAGAAGCTTGTGTGGGAGAGAGAGGCTTGTGGGAGAGAGAGGCTTGTGGGAAGCCGGTGGTGGCAGTTGAGGCTCTGAGGGTTTTTCCTGAGAGGCTGTTTTGTTTGGCCTGTGTGGTTCTAAAAATAAAGTTAGTTTCTTTTGACAAGTGGCTCCTGATTGTGCCCAGCCAGACTGCGGCACGTGGCATCTGCTGCACAGGGTCACTCTCTGCTGGGTAGTGGACTCTCTTGCCCTCCCCCTGGGCTAAGGCACTGGGCTCCTCTCCGGCCAGAATGGGCAATCCTTGGCTGGTTCCCACTTTAGGAGGTACAGGACAGGAGTGGATGTCTGTCCCCACTGGCACCCCAGGCAACCTTCCCACAGAGCGACCTCAGCCCAGCTCACCTCCGAAGGAAAAGGCCAAACTCCCAGCCACAGATGTAACTCGGGGAGCCAGGCTCCACCACCATCCAGCCCCGACCTCCCCACCAGCCCCAGGAGTCACTGGTGACAAATACCAGCAGCTCTGGCCACTGCTGCCTCCGGGGATTCATCGAGAACTTACTCTCCCCAGGCACGGGGCCACGTGCTCCTCTGGAATCCTTTGCCTCGGCTCCTTGCAACTAGAGCTGATCCTCTGTGTCCCTTGGTGAGTGTAGCTGTGTCCTCACCCCTGGGCTAGGTCAACGCACGTTCATTCTTCATTTCTTTATTTTATCGTTCTTGGCATTGAAACCAGGGCCCCCTACCACTGAGCTATATCACCAGCCCTTTTTATTTTTTATTTTGAGACAAGTTCTCACTAAGTTGCTGAGGCTGGACTTGGACTTCTGATCCTCCTGCTTCAGCCTCCAGAGTAGCTGGGGGTCAGGCACGTGCCACGGGACCCAGCTCAACTTGTTTTTAAAAGAAAATAGCTGTACTCTACACAGTATTCATGAACGTCAGGCATGCTGTGACTTTTTTCTCCCTAATGTACATCAAACCACAGGTATGAAAACTGCTGATCTAAAATCACCTTGCAAACCCCAGACACCCATGCACACACACGTACACACAATCCCCCCCATGCATCCACACCGAATAGACACACACACACACTTACAAACTCAGGTGTGCAGTCACGCACATGTGTACACACACTCATACCCAGCAGTTACATACATATGCAACCACACACTTACACACATACACACAGGCTGTCGCACACAGAGCTACACACAGTCTCACCCATTGTCCCATCACATTGTTTTATTCCTTCAATTACTTATTCATTCACTCAGTTATTTACTGAGTACTAAACTCCGCACCAGTACTTACTTTGTCCTCAGTCCTTAACTAAGTCAATGAGCAAGAAAGGCAAAGATCTCTGACCTCATGAAGCTTAGATTCTAATGGAAGGAGACAGATTTAAAAAAAATTAAAAAGTAAATTCTATAACATGCGAAAAGAAAATGAGCAGTAGGGAGCCTAGCACCTGGTGATGGGGGGGCAGAGGGAGAACCAGTTTGGAGGTGGGTATGACTTTAAGTAGGTGTCCAAGCTTCATTGAGAAGGTGATAAAAATCTCTGGCAAAGGTCTGAAGGAGCAGGAGTTATCTGGGTGACACCTGGGGGAAAACAGTCTGAGGAAAAGGAACAGTACATGCAAAGGCCCTGAGGCAGGTTGGGCCTGCAGAGAGCAGGAAGGTACCTACCTGGTGTTGCTGAGGTGCCAAGAGTCAGGGGTGGAGGCAGAGAGGAGAGTGAGTGTGACCCCACCTTGCACAGAGAGGTCAGAATGTTTATTTTACGTGAAACTGAAGTTCCCAGGTGGGTTCTAAACAGAGATGTGACCTGAACTGACCTCTGAAGCTTACCAGCATCTAACAGGAACTAAGTCATTTCTCCTGTTATTATTCGTATTACTTTCCAAACCAGGAGGGCTCTGTCTCTGTCACTTCTCCTTAAAGGAGAACAACTCTAGAGGGACACAATTTTGATGTTGCTGTTAGGTACCCAACATAAATTGACTAAGGGACAGGGACGGATATTGCCAGGAAGAAGAGCATCCCATGGCTTGTCTTCTAGAATCTGCTTCAGGAAGCTCCAAACCAAATGAGTCTGTGGGTCCCTTTTGTCCCCGATTTCTGAGAGGACAAATGACCTTTTCCTGAGCTTCCTCTCATTGGTGACTGCTGTTCCCTGGACCACATCCCTCACTTCCCAAATCTGTTGCATCCGTGGTCACCGACCCCGGACCGCGGTCCATACAGGTGTGTGACATCCCCTCCGTCTCCCCCATTCCAGACCACATCTGCTGCAATTTTTGGAACGTTCACAGTACACAGTGCATTTCGTTTCTTTTTAAATCTTTACTCATCCCCTTTTGGAATAAGTCAATAAGTAACTGAGATTTAAATAATTGACTTTTAAAAAGGAAACACTTTAACGGGGTTCAAAGTTGAACTAGCTCCTCTGCCCCCAAAAGCTTAGCGGTTTCAAGGCCACCCTGCTAGAACAGAAGTTGCTGGAAACATCTTTGTGGCCACGTGTTTGATAGGTCTTGTCAAGCTCAGGGCTCACGTGTCTAGGAGGTGTCCTGAGGTCATCCCTTACTTCCTAGAAAACAAGGCTGAGGCTCAGGTTGGGGATGTCATCACTGCTTCATGACCCCATGGCTCAGTAGCAGGGAGCCCGAACCCAAACTGGACAATCTGACTCCCAAACCTACAAGGTTCTACTGTATAAGTTGGGTGCAGCCTTCTTCAAGATTTCGATTTCCACTCCAGGTCTTGGGGTCCCACTCCCTCCCCCTTCTAGCCAACTGGTCCCCATCAAAGAGGGAAAGAGGAGTAAACCACTAACCTCATGTTCTTTGCTCTCTGAAGCATCTGTTCAGGCAGATGGCGAGAGGCACTGAATAGCAACAGCAAGAGGGACTGGAGGGAGACTTGGGGAGAACTTCCTAGAAAGGCATTTAAGAGACTAATAATGCAGTGTGATTCTGAGACACTCAGAAATATCTATGCCAGGATTGTAGGAGAAGGGATGACAGATATCTTCAGGGCTGGAGGTGGAATTCTGTAAGTTTTCCCAGAGCAGGTGAAGAACTTTTTCCAGGTTGTGGCTGCTGTTTTCAGACACAGATGTTTCAAGCCCTCCCATTTCCAGGGTTGGCCCAGAGAAAAACCATTAAGGGGCCCAAACTGCTTCATGGGTACCCTTCAAGTGTCTTCTCTTCTCTCCCCAGAACCCCTTTGGAGTGCAGGATTCCAGGGTCTTCAAGACCTCTGGACCCCCAGATGGCCATTGGTATGGGCCTTTGCCCAGTCATACCCAGGTTTCTGGTGCCCCCGTCTGGGCCCTGGCCTGTGGGTCTGTGTTTCTAGGGCTTCTGTCTCTGAAGGAAAAATGGCAGCCAAAGGAGCCCCATCCCTGCCCGTGTGGAAGCTCTGTGACATCACTTTCCCCAATGGGGAAGACGCGGGATCTGATGTGGCCTGCAGTGCCAGCGGTCACTTCTCTGGCTGGGACACTCTTCCCTTCGGCGGACTTTCCTGGAAAACACCTCATCTCGGCCACCCAGGGCCCTCTGGATTCCATCCTCGAGGCCTAAGCATTCATTTTTAATTCAGCAGCGTGGACGGGAGACCCTGCTCTGGGAGCCTGGGGTCCGGCTACCACCGACTTGCTATGTGACCACGAGCAAGGACCTGTTCCCCTCTGAGGAGACCTTGAGGTCTGATTCTTAGGAACGACTCAGCTGCGGAAGGGCTACTGTATCTTGCTAGATGTCCCCACTGCGGAAAGTGACGTAGAAGGATGATTTCACCACGTTCTCCCGCTTGCCTCTGAGAGGGGTGCCGGTGGAAGCCCCGATCTCCAGATGGGGAAACCGAGGCTTGGGGATCAGTGACTTATTCAACTCACCCAATAGTAAGAGTCAGGTCAGAAAGGATGCCCGATTCCGGTATCCGTGTACTTTCCACCTCACTAAACTGAGAAATGGATGGGCAGGAGGGGGAACCTGGGACATTTGGAGAAATACCAAGTGACTCTGGGGAGGAGTGGAGGGTGAACCATTACCAGGTGGCACTGGGGCCCAGCAGACCTCAGCCTAGGTTAATGAGTACGGGTCCCTTGTCACACTCCCTGAGAAGGAGGGAAAGGTGAGATTTCCACAAGGTTCAAGGAAAAAGTGAGTGGGGAGCCCGTGGAGATGGCCCCTTAGATTTTCTCTCTGCTTTTCACTTGCTGAGGGAGCTTAGAGTCAAGGTCTTCAAGCTTCAGCTTCTTTATTTATCCAGAGGAGATGAAGTAATCCCTGGTTTATAGCATTGTCCCGAGGATGAAGAAGAATATTTTATTCAACATAAATATTTATTGACCAACCCTTTGATATGTGCCAGATATTGATTTGGGGCTTAGGGATCAAGAAGCACCAAACCCAAACATCCTTGTTCTCAGAGAGCTTATGTTGGGTAAAGGAAAGAAAAACAATGAATAAAGCATATGTAGTGAGACATAGATGACCAAAGAGACAAAATATGGCAGAGAGGTTAGGGCAGGTGGGCAGAGAAGGACCACACATCCTTTGGTAAAGCTGTGGTGGTAGTAAGGGAGCTAGTCATCCGGGTGTTTAGGTGGAAGAGGATTTCAAGAAGAGGGAAGAGCATCTGCAGAGACCCAGAGGCCGGGAGTGCCTTCTATGCAGGTAGAACAGCAGGGAGGTCCACGGGACTGGAGCGGGGAAGCCAGGGGAGAGTTTTTGGAGAGACCATGGTGGTGAGGACCTTGTAGATCAGAGCAAGGACTTAGGATTTTGCTCAGAGAAGTCCATGGTCTTGAGATGGAATTGAAGGACCTGACCCTCCCACCCCAAAGGGGTGTTTTTCTGCTTTTTGTGATCCCTCCTTTCTAGAACAGATTGCTGTTTCTTTCCCATGGCGAAGCTGCTGGGAGCAGGGGTCAGCACACCAGGCTGTTTGAGTGACAGTTACCAGACCCCTTCCTCATGCCCAGTCACTCCGGGGCAGCTGCTGCTGCTTTGGGATAAAGATGGGTGGCACTGGGACCTGAAGCATAGGGGGAGGGGTGGCAGGGATCAGAGATGAGACTGCACCATCTGTGACGTCAGGGACCAGCCCCAACTACTCCAGGATGGTCCGAGGAGGCAGAGAGGAGCATGGTGCGTCCCCTTCACATCTGCTGCGGTAGCCTTCCATCCTGCAGCTGCTTTAAACATCCTCTCTCCAGTCCAGAGATGCACCTCCCAGATCTGTGACAGCCAGGACAGGCAGCTCAGCAGCCTTCACAGACTGGCATGACGGCACAGAACGTCTGCAGTTAGCAACCAGGAAATTGCACGTGCCTGAGCCTGGCCCGTCTCTCTGCATCACTAGCACTGCTCTTACCTCATCAGCCTGACCAGAAAGCTCCATCCCAGGCCCTGCTCCCCCTTTATGCTGTAGCACAAGCTCCAGTAAAGCCTCCTTTGAATGGTTTTATTTTGCCTATCTGTAATTTCTGTCTAAATTGAGCGGGCTGAGCTGGTTGCTAAGCTGGTAACGTTAAGGGCCGCCAACAGCCAGGACTGCCAATGCTCACAGCTGAGAGCCACAAGAGAGCTGCTAACATGAAGGGAGCTTCACTCCGCCTTTCTGCGATTTGTATCTGAATTGAACAAAAGAACCCTTGGCCAGTTGGTAACAGTCTGACTTAAGTCTGGCTAACTCTGCTCGGGAACAGATTTCAGGGGGCAAAAAGCAGAGGTCGAAAGTCCAGACAGAAGGCCACAAAATACTCTCATGGAGTGGAAGTGGTGTTTTGGAACAGGGCAGAGAATGAGACAGATTCTGGATGGCCTGAGATACAAGTGATGGGTTTGCCAGACCCAGGTGTTAGTCAGGGAAGACTCTAAGGTTTCAAGTAGGAAGAATTGGAATGCTAGAGTAAGAGATGGGTAAGAGATGGGTAGGAGAGGAGATGGGGTGGAATGATTTGCAGGAAGAGATAATATCAGGCACTCAGCTCTGTACAAGTGAATATAAACTGACTATTAAACACCCAAGTGGAGAAACCAAGCAGATTAAGATGCAGGAGACAGATCTACTCTGGAGATGCACAGGTGAGGGTCGCTGGCAAGGTGGTTACGACCTTGGATGAGATCATGTGCAGAGTGAGTGGACCCGAAGGCTCTAGGGCCAGGCTGTCCATAAACTTGGCTAGGAGGAATGATGTTACATCACATAAGATTCCAGGACCGTGCACAGTTAATGATTAGCTGTGCTCTCCACCAAGTCTGGAGAAATTAAGTTCAGGGGCTCTCTGCATGATTACTGTGCTCTTCTTAAAGGCTTTGGGGACACTCACGCTGCTCATTCAGGAAGAGAGTGGACCAAGGGATCCCCAGAGAGACTTCCAGAAAGAACTCAGCAGGTGAGCGCTGCTGTCAGGAATGGAAGATGGGGTGCTGCCTCTTGGTGTCACCAACCTTTAGGAGTTATTGTTAACAAGGAGAGTGACACTTCATGGAGAAAGAGCGTCTGCCAGGTCTTAGTGAGGAAGCAACCTGGGAAGAGGAAGGGGTGATAGTAGCATAGATAATGGGAGGGACTGTGGAGCTGGGAGGAGGGTGGTCAGGTAAGAGCTGATGGGTGGCCATCAGGAAAGGTGGCCTGTCTGAGAAGGTGAGGACCGAAGGAGGCGCAAGAGCCAGTCATGGAAAGAGAGAGGCACCCGCAGGTACAGAAGCAGTATATATATATTCCTGCTGAGGATCCAGGTATTAGGGAACCTTAGCCTGTTATTCCTTTAGAAAATAGGAGAGATTGCACATGTCCCAGAGATTTTGAGTATTCTGGAAGCTGCTGCCTCAACAAACATGTCTTGGAGTTGAGCCAGTTGACTGTCCTGCAGGCTGGATTTCTGGAATCAAGGGTTGTTAGACTTAAATTCTGCAACATCATCAGGGCACACATGTTGGGACTCAAAGGCCAACCAGTTGTGAAACTACTTTCCCTGGGGCCAATGTATATGGGAACAATAATCACGACAGCTAGACCTTGGGAAGTGATTGTCTTAGGTCCTGGGTAGCAGGTCCATAGTAGTTAAGATATCGGTCAAGTATCGGTCAAGTTTCAGTTTCAAGAAATAGATGCTCCTTGTATTAGTCAGCAGGGGATACACTAACCAACATCCAAATCATCCGGGTAGCTTTTAACCATTCATGTTTTCCCTCTGTGGGTCTGAGGGTTGTCTGTTGCTAGCCTTAACATTCTGAGCCCCAGGATAAAGGGAAAATACCCATCTTGGATATGCAACTCTCGTAGAGAGAATAGACATGCAAGAGTAAGACCAACCCACTCTCATTCCACTGACCAGAGCATACCGCGTGGGAAGGCCAAGGTCCATGGCAGGGGTATACATGCTATCCTTTCAGATTACACTGGGAAATCACATGGAAGTGAATGAGGAGAGAGAGAGAGAGAGAGAGAGAAGGAGAGAGGGGGAGAGAGAGAGAGACAGACAGACAGACATAGATATAGATATAGATATAGATATAGATATAGATATAGTCTCACTACAGGAATCAAATTGCCAGGAACAACAATACAATCTACTACTCCCTGTATTTTAAGCACAAAGGGACTCATTATTGAAATTGGATGTCACAGAATGGTCAGAAATATTGAACAGGTGCCTTCAGAGAATGAGGCATATTAGAAGGACGCTGAAACAGATTCTGAGAGCCAATCCCACTCATGACTACCACAAGTCAACTCCTGGAGAGAGCCCGGTGAGGTTGAGATGATGATTCATAGAGCAATCTTCTAAGGAAAGGCTCAGCCCCGCCTCTCCTTTCCTTCACAGATCCAAACATGCACTGGCTGCAAAAACTTCAGAGACTTTATACCCTATGGAGTCCTGAGATGTCCAGGTACACTCTCCACGTTACCGTCAGGCAACTGTCGTCCATACCGTGGGGCCACCAAGATGTGCCAGAGAAGTTTAACTTTGCTAGCAACGTGATCGATCACTGGGCTGGTATGGAAAAGGTAAGAGGGAGAGAAGAGGCACTGGGGGGGATGGTTTGGCTGGCTTCATTAATTCTTCCATTCACTCGATAAATATTTACTGAATGCTTACGTATCAGTCCCTGTAAGAAGCTATGAACAGGATGCTCATCGCCCATAGTGGGAAAATGAGACAGGTATGGGATTGGCAGACAGAAAGGCACCGGGAGCCTGGCACAGAATGGTGCCATCCGGTAACCCCTGGAAGATGGAGCAGGCTCTGTTCTGACCCCCAAGAGCAAACCAAGAGCAAGTGGGCTGGCGTCACAGAAGAAATGGGTTTGGGTTTGAGAAGAGCAAATCTGAGCCAGTCTTCTCGAAAGTTGGGTCACACCTCTGTCATCAGGGACGTGCAAGTAGGATGTCCACCAAGCAGAGATTTCGAAAGGGCTCCCTCCTGAGACAGCAAAGAGAGAGAGAGAGTGGTGTACATTTTCTGAGTTCTCCTGAGCTTCTAGAATTCCAACCCAGTTGGTGCTGATGCACCTTCATCTGAAGCCTTGTGCACATGACTGGGGATGGAGGAGTCCACCCAAGGTAGGATAAGCAAAGGCGTAGATTTGCCAGAATAGGCTTTAAACAAGGGCGCTCTCAAAGGTGGCCACAATGGTGACTTTGCCCTGAAGTTCCAACACTGTGACACAACACCTGGCCCCCAGGCCGATGATAGAACCTAGGTTCAGGTGCTCTGGGGAAAAAAAAAAAAAAAGTTAGGTCCACGTTTTAAAATGAAAATTTTTAAAATAAAATTTCTATCTTTGGATTTCCTTTAAAAGTCATATCTCCTTGGAATACGGAGGAAAGGCCCGACCAGATCAACTCACAATTCTGAATCCATAAAAGAAATGTTTTAATAAAAATCTGTGCATAAAGATCAAAAGAACCTTTCTATCAATAACACCATAAGAAAATGAACTAATCCAAACCAGGGGGAAAATGTTCGATTCAAGTGATAGAAAAAAAAAAGAGTTAATATCCCCAATATAAAAGAGTTCCCATAAAACAAGAAAAAAAGAGGCTTCACTCAAAATAAGAGGACAAAGAATATAAGCAGACAGTTCACTGAAAAATGAACTCAAATGACTACTCAACATACAGAAAAGAATACTCAACTATCATTGAGACGATGGCAAAATTTCTTCACTGAAATCATATTTTATTCCTGTCACATTAGTTGATTACCACAGTTTGACAACACAGGAGAGAACACATTCTTAGCACAAAGTCATATCACTCTCGTGGGATTTTGAAATATTTGTGTTTCCTCTTTTGCTTCCTGTTGGTCTTCAGTTATGACCCTGGAACCCCCTGAGATAACACAAGATTCAGGGGATCTGTGGAGTGAAAAACTATTTCAAAAATAAACCTTGGAGAAAATAGAATATCTGTGCATCGCTGGTGGGAACGTAAAGTGGTGGCGCTACGATGGAAAATAATATGGTCATTCCTCAAAATCTGAAAAAAGTAGAATTACCATATAATGCAATCCCACTCCTGACCCCCCAAAATAAAACGCCATATAGTGCATCCATCGTACCAGTGGGTTTATACTCAAAAGAATCCAAAGGAGTATGTCAAAGAGATATTCATACAACCAGATTCATAGTCGCTTTGTTCAAAATAGCCAAAAGGTCAGGACAACTCAAATGTCCATTAACAGATGAATAGATACAAAAGTGTAGAGTCTACATACAATGGAATATGATTCGACCCTCAAAAAGAAGGGAGTTCTGACACTTGCGTCTACAAAGAGGAGCCTTGAGGACCTCATTCTGAGTGAAATAAGCCAGTGTATGATTTGGAAGAGTCAGATTCATAGAGACAGAAAGTAGATGGGTGGTGACAGAGTCTAAGTGAGTAGGGATGAGAGGTAATTGTCTGAAGGGTCCAGAGTTTCAATTTTATATAATGGAGAGTTTTCTCCAGATGGTGATGGTTGTGCAAGGTGAAAGGACTTAATGTCCCTGGACTATACAACTGGAAATAGCTAAAATGGGGAGAGGAGAAGGAGAGGAAGAGGCTGATCAGGGTAACTAAGTTGCAGTTAGATGGGGTAAGAAGTTCTGGTTTTCTACTGTCCAGTGGTGACCAGAGACAACTGGGTATTTTACGAGATTAAGAGAGGATTTCGGATGTTTTCACCATAGAGAAATGATAGGCATTCAAGGAGACAGATAGGCTCACCCTGATTTAAAGGTGTACGCGTGTACTGAGCCATCACGGGTGCCCATAAGTAGGCACAATTTTTATGTTTTTATGTATCCGTTAAAAAACAAACATACATTGAAAAGTAAATGTAAAATTATGCCACTTCTTTCTCTCTTTCCTATTTCTTGTGTTTTATTTATTTATTTTTTTCTTTTTTGAGGGGAAATACACTGACTTTTTTATTTCAAAAATCCTAATCATTGGGGCTGGGATTGTAGCTCAGTGGTAGAGCGCTTGCCTCGCGAGTCTGAGGCACTGGGTTCGATCCTCAGCACCATCTAAAAATAAATAAATGAATCATCCTAATCATGATGAGATATCATCATGCTGCTCAGAAGAGTTTGCAATTTAGAAATCATGAATGGTTTATATCTGGAACTTTCTATTTCATGTTTTTGGACTGTCGTGGACAGCAGGGTACTCATTCAGCAGACAGCGAAGCCTTGAACAAGGAGTGACTAGTGAATTCAGAAGCAGAATAGTGTCATTTTGAAGCGGTCTTGTGTTAATTGTACTGTCACACGCGGCCTATGACATTTCAGCCCCTGACAGACCAATGACACGGTGGTGATCCTATAAGATTATATGGTCTAGTGACGTCATGAGGTCGGGCTCTCTTAGCTTGTACCACAGTGTACACAGCCCTGAAGCTGCCAACGACACATTTCCCAGAACCCACCCTTGGCTTATTACTGTCACTTCTTAAAAACACATATTTTTTGAATTCTCAGTTTGGGTTTCTAGCATGGTAAATATTGACAGATCTAACTCTAAAAAATAAAAAAGTAACACTTGAAGGTTTTCAAGACCTTTTAAGAGCCTGTGGGGGTCCCGAGAGCTTGCCAGGCCTTGACATAGCGAGCCCAAGACCTGGGGTCTGTCTCTGGGCTGGTCCCCGACCCTGAGTTAGCCGCAGGCTTCTGTCTTCAGGCTGGGAAGAGGCCTCCAGGCCCAGCCCTGTGGTGGGTGAGCGGTGATGGGGACGAGATCAAGTGGAACTTCAGAGAACTGAGTGAAGTCAGCCAGCAGGCCGCCAACGTCCTCTCGGGGGCCTGCCACTTGCAGCGTGGGGACCGTGTGGCCGTGGTGCTGCCCCGAGTGCCTGAGTGGTGGCTGGTGACCCTGGGCTGCTTCCGAGCAGGTTGGTATCGGGCCACGCGGGCGGGCAGCCGCCTCTTTCCCGGGGCAGAGACACACACAGCTGCCTCTGCGCAGAGCAGCCCTCCGGGAAGTGTGCCTCCCGCTCTCCCCCTGGGTCCCCGTTCCTCAGCGGCTGGCCACCGTCCCCAGCCCTTCCTCCCAGCTCCGTCTGAACCATTTGGCTTCCCCAGGCCTCATCTTCATGCCTGGGACTGTCCAGATGAAGTCCAAAGACATACTCTACAGGCTGCAGGCGTCCAAGGCCAGGGCCATCGTGGCTGGGGACGAGGTGGCCCAAGAAGTGGACACAGTGGCATCCGACTGCCCTTCCCTGAGAATCAAGCTACTGGTGTCTGAGAAAAGCCGGGACGGGTGGCTGGACTTCAGGACCCTGATGCGGTGAGTCTCGGCACGTCTGGGCCTGGCTGCTCACCAAAAGTGGGAACCAAGCCAAACACTCGCAGGCAGGTGCTTTATTGGGGTGGGGGCGCTCAGGAAGCAGAGCGGGGGACTTGGGAGAGAAGAGCGGGCAGGAAGGTCATTTCAAGGGCTAAGTGGAGCTTTGTGTGGGGGACCTTCTGAGGAAAACACAGGAAACTTCCAGGATTTTCCAAGAAAGAACTGATAAGGTAACCTCCACGGGTTCAGGGTTGTGGCAACCGCGGCTCAAACCCGCGTGAGGCCAGCAGTATGCGAGGCCAAGCCTAAGAGACGGCCGATGTACTGAGTCTCCAGCACCTTCTCACCTCTGCATCCCTAAGCAAGGCTTTCCAGGGGTCCTTCCAAAGGTCCATAGCAAGACTCATCAATGAATGTGTTTCCCTGTCACATGTCTGAAATCCCTCCACAAGGGACATTTTCCTTTCTAATGTCATGGTCTTTAAGGTAACTGTCAGAAATAAAGTGACATCAGCTTCAAAATCAGGGTGCTGGGGGAGATGTCTGAGAGATGTGTAGGGGATTTCAGTGAATAAAAGAGGACATCAAGAAAGCATTGGGGGGAAAAAATAAAGAAAGAAAGCATTGGGGCCCGGATGCGGTGGCACATACTTATAATCCCAGTGGCTCGGGAGGCTGAGGCAGGAAGATCACAAGTTCAAAGCCAGCCTCAGCAAAAGCAAGGCACTGAGCAACTCAGTGAGACCCTGTCTCTAAATACAATATGAAGTAGGGCTGGGGATGGGGCTCAGTGGTCCAGTGCCCCTGAGTTCAATCCCTGGTATCCCCGCCCCCCCAAAAAAGAAAGCATTGGGAACACCCACTGCCCCCCTACTGTGCACCACAATCAGATTAGTATTTATGAAGTTTCTACTAAGCACAATGAATACTGCCTTTGTGGTATAAGTCATTTTCTCAGGGACTCTATGAGACAAGTTGTACTGATCCCCTTTCACAGGTATGGAAAGTGAGACTTGAAGAGGTTAATTGACTAGTACAAACTGACACAGTTAACAAAGTGCCAAACCTGGTGGTTTTCACTTCCAATCTGACTAACTCAGAATCCCATGATCCTAACTACTCAATGGCCACCCCTTTCTGAAGTGGATCAAGTGGCTTACACTGGGAGCTGGTGGGCAAAATGAGTCACTGTGACATCTGGTGTCCAGGCTAGATGTAAGAAGGTGATATTCTGTGTCTCCATCAGAGAGGCACCCACCACTCATCGCTGTGTGGAGACCAGAAGCCAAGAAGCAGCTGCCATTTACTTCACTAGTGGAACCAGTGGCCCTCCCAAGATGGCGGAACACTCCCACTCCAGCCTGGGCATCAAGGCCCAGATGGATGCTGGGTAAGCCACGCCCCTCCCTTCCCAGAGAGCCCAGGGACCAGACATACAGGCTTTCCTGAGGGTAGATCTGACCCTTCTTGGGAGTTTCTGAGGAAGACAACTGGGGAGGGGGTCTTAAGAAGCAAGGCTTCCCATACCGGGAATCCAGCGCTCTTCAGGGTGATGTTTCCATTACAGGTGATTCCAAATCTCAAAACCTCTTCCAGGTTTTGAACCATGTGGCTAGTAGGGTAAAGGTTGAGCAGTAAAGTTCATATGCATTTTTCCCAGAACAATCTCTATCTTGTTTTGTGGGGTGCTGCCAATTGACTTTGATGGTACCAGTATTCCAAGAGGACATTTTTTTGTTAACAGAAAAATTGCTTTGCAAATCCATTAAAATGGAAGGTGGAGTTGGATGAGTTAAATGAGCTGAGATCTCAGAGTTTTTGGATCACAGACCACATAATTCAGAAATGTATTCCATTCCTGCATCAGCCTGATCTGTGAAATCAGGAAACACTATGGCAAGGTCTTCATGCAATTATAAGAAGGAATCTTCTGACATCTTTGGGATCTGGCCTGTTATGTGAATTTTATTATGTTATTAGAGTGGAAAAATACTTTCAGGGGAAAAAAAACTGTAAAAACTTTATTGTCCTACTTACGAGCCCGTTGTATCAGCAAATGTAATTAATTATACAAATTATTTAATAGCTGAGCTGTAGGGAAATGCTATTTTTAAACAATGGAGGATACATTATTTAAATATAGGTAATATATTCATTCACACCCCCCCTCCAACTTTGGTCCTAATAGGCCTGATTTCCACGGAGCTGAAAATATTAATCTGCAAGAAAGGGCACCTACTGTGGTGACCATCAGCCTCAGGGAGGTGGTCCTGACGTCTTCCTGTCCAGTCTAAATGATTCTTGCTTTAAGACAGGGTTAATACCTCTCACTCTGAGCTGAAGAGATAAAGGCAACTAGTGTTACCTGTTCATGATGCTTGGAGAAATGAAAACCCACGTTCTGCTCAGTCAAACTTGAACTTGGCCAGGCCCTTGTGAGACTATTACTTAGATGACTCTTGTTAGCACGCTAATCCTGGGTGGTTACCACATGTGACGCTGTACTAAGTTCTGAGGATAAAAGGAGAACACATAAGACCCAAGTGTCTATTCAGTCATATCTGCTGGGGTCACATTTAGAACACTTGATCCCTCTTGACAGACTGTGCAGAAAAACAATTTTCCTGCCCTTTCCCTGCTTACACGTACGCACATTCCTATAAACATACGGGCAGACACGCACACACCTGTGCACACACACCCTGTGCCAGCGTGCTCTCTCCCGGATGGATGTGTGCTTTCTCTGTGCCCAGCACCTGGACAGGCATGCGAGCTTCGGACATCATATGGACCGTATCAGACCCGGGTTGGATCCTGAACATTTTGACCTCAGTTCTGGAACCTTGGACATTGGGAGCTTGCATATTTATCCATCTTTTGCCCAAGTTTGACCCCCAGACCATTCTGAAGGTAAGAGAAGACCCACTTTGCATTGATTGATCAGGATGAGCCCAGGGTTTGCATGCGCCCATTTAGGGCAGTGGATTTCCATTCATATCATTTTTGCTAGAGCCCAGCCCACGTGAGCGGGCTTGGTGAGCAAGGTAGAAATGGTCCCTGACCCCAGTGGCCCCAAGTGTCCAACTTGAAAATAATTTACCCACGTTCGACGTTGTCTTAGTCAACTTGGGCTGCTACGATAAAAATACCCCAGAGAGACTAAGACACCACTTTTTTCTCACGGTTCTGGAGGCTGGAAATCCGAGATCATTGTAACATTGGCTTCTGGGTGAGGGTCCTCTTTCTGGCTTGCAAATGAGTGCCTTCTTGAGAGAGAGAATCTCTTCCTTTTCTTACAAGGGCACTAATGCATCTTTGGGGCACCCCCCTCATTACCTGATATAATTACCTCCCACCTTCAAATACCATCACATGAAAGGTTGGGGCTCCATCATATGCATATGGAACATTCCATTCATCTCAGACGCCCAGGTAACCACCATTAAATCCAGACACGAAACATCTCCATCCGTACAGAAGGTGCACACACCCTTTCCTGACCATATCCTCACCCAAGATGTTCCTTATTCTTTTGACTTCTACCACCACAAAGTAATTTGGCCCCTTCTTGTACTTTATATAAGTGGACTCATACAACACATAATCTTTTGTGTTTTATTTTTTTTTTCACTCAACCTGTTCTCTGTGAGATTTGTGCACACTGTTGCATGTGTCAGAAGTTTGTTCTAAACTTCTGTATAGTATTCCATTCTGTGAATCAATCCCAAGTTTATTCTCCATCTTTTATTGATGGACATTTGAATTAGGTCTACTTTGGGGGTATTATCTAAGAGGAATCCTGAAGAACAAATTGGATTTTTTTCCCTTTAGAACATGATTGGGAGATCATTAAGTAAAATCCACAAACTATAACTATTTGTTAACATGTAGCCATAAGCAGTAAAAGTGGCCTCATTTTGCTTGCAATGCTCTAAAGAATTTGAACTGTGCTTATGCTGTGGGAGCTGGATCATTGCCTTCTTGGGCCTGCAGATCTCTGTAGCAGTTCATGGGTAACCCAGACATTCATCTGGCTGCCTCCAGAAACAAACTAAGGGACAAAGGACACCTTCAGAAGTCAAAAAGTCAGGGGTGGTCTGGATTACCTCTGGAGATTCTCTTGGAATGAGACCATCATTCTGTCTTAAACAGATTATTTTTCCACTACTTTCCCAAAACAGATTATTTTATTCTGAACTGGCTCTTGCTAAATTCTGCAAACAAAACACAAAGTAAAGCAAAACTCAACAACAGATGTATCTTTATAAAATCCACTTGGTGGAATTGAGCAAATTCACAAAGGAGAGGAGAGAAGATGTTTAGCAAATAAGTAGGTCAATGCAAGTTGAGCTTCCTGCGCGGCAGGAACGTAGGGTGATTTTTGTAGCTTACGCTAGTTCATCGAGAGCCGCTGAATGAACTGATCACGTGATGCTCTCGCGTTAGTATTTTTTTTTCCCTAGACATTTTGCTTAAACTGCTCTTCAATTCTGGACAATTCTTCTCCTGGACTGAACCTGATATTACATAACAGTTGAAGAGTACATGGGGCAAATACTTGATCTACCACTTGATGGCTGTGACCTTGGAAAAGTTACTTAACCCTGAGTCATAGTTTTCTCCTCCATAAGATGGGGATGACCATACAGAGTTCCTGAGGTTCGTGGGAGAATTAAACAAGATAGCACAGGGCAATACTAGGTCTTTTTTGCAACATTTTTTTTGAAATGTCTACAGATGCTTTTAACTTTTCCAAGCACTTAGAAAAAAAAAACTCAATTATCCTCCAAAAAGATTTTCAGGAAAATAGGTTGGAAATAATTTATTTAAAAGCTGATTCCAGCTGGGCACAGTGGTGCACACCTGTAATCCCAGTGGCTCTGGAGGCTCAGGCAGAAGGATTGCAAGTTCAAAGCCAGCCTCAGCCAAAGCGAGGCACTAAGCAACTCAGGGAGACCCTGTCTCTAAATAAAATACAAAATAGGGCTGGGGATGTGGCTCAGGGGTCGAGTGCCCCTGGGTTCAATCCCTGGTACCCCTCCCCCCCAAAAAAAGCTGGTTCCAGAAGGTTAAGAGACTTAACTAAGGTCACACACTGAGCTGCTGTCTTTCCACGATGCCTGGGGATTTAGACACTACCAAGTGGTGTGTTGGTTCGGGCAAGTCTTAAATGGCCAGGAACAGGCAGCCAGTGTTCCAAATGGGTCCCAGACCGTTTTGCTACGATGGCAGTTTTTCAGTTTCTGTGTGTCTTGATGCTGGAGAATTGTGAGGCTCATTTAGTCTGAAACCGACCAACAAGCTGAGGTTTCCAGCTAGACCGCTGTGACTCCAAGCCCCAGGGCAGTGACCTCTGTGCATGTTGGAAAGTTTGGCATGTGGCCTGCTGAGTGCCCAGCTGTCTGTCTCCCCTCAGGTGCTGTCCAGCTACCCCATCAACAACCTGGTGGCTGCCCCTCTCGTTTACCGGATGTTGCTCCAACAGGATCTTTCCAGGTGATGGGACTTTGGGGAGCTTGGTAGGAGCCTGTAGGTACATGTACACGCAAAGGTCTGTCCACCTGACCCTCTAAACACGGGTGGTCCCATGAAACCATCCCCAGAGCTTCAAAGCACCCAGACCCCAGCTCTGGGTGGTCCAGGGGGACTTTGGCTCCCACTGGGCTGAGGGACCTTTACCTCTCTTTCTTCTTCAGACACAAGTTCCCACACCTACAGAACTGCTTTACTGGAGGGGAGACCCTGCTTCCGGACACTCTGGAGAACTGGAGGGCCCAGACAGGGCTGGATATCTGGGAATTCTACGGCCAGACAGAAACGGTACCCGCTCTCAGGGGAATCATGGGCTGGTGCACCTGGTGGGCTTTGAAGGCTCTTTGATAATAAACATATTATCCACCCTTTAGCATTCACTTATCTGAAAAAAAAAATTTATTGAGCATCTGCTATGGGAACAAAACAGGCAAACGCCTGCTCTCATAGAGATTGCATTCTAGTGCGGGAGAGAGAGAATAAATGAATAGATGCCGCGGTAGCTGGCCTGAGAGAGCTATGGAACAGCGCGGTGAAGCAGGTGACATAGAAAATAAAGCAGATGAACTAGACAGAAGGGCTAGGGTCCGAGTCCATTTTTCTGTTACTATAACAGAAGCCTTGAGACTGGGTAATTTATTAAATAAAAAAAAAGTGATTCATGCTGGCTTATGGTTCTGGAGGCTGGGAAGTTCAAGATTGGGTGGCTGCATCCGACCATCTTCTAGAAAGGGCCTCGGGCTCCTTCAACTCAACCTGTCAGGCACTGTAGCAAGCTGCTTCCGTCTAAGTGAGGGGCAGGGAGAGGCCACCAGTAAGGCCCAACCTCACCTGCTGGGAGATCTTCTTGGAATTATTTCTCCTCCTGCAGGGGGCCGTGGCAGAGCTGGGATGTGGGAAGAGTTTAGCAAGCTCTTGTGAGGAACAGCCTGGTCAGAGCTTCCAGCCACCCTGGGAGGGCCCTATAGGGAAAGCTTTGGGCACATGGGCACCTCCATTGTAAGGGCCCCCTCTCAGGATTCAAGCAGAACCGGTCCTATCATAGGAAGTCATCCAACAAGCATCTTTTAGGCCTGCTCAGACCGCAGGTTGGTAACTTCATAAGTTGCCGAGGGCCTGGCTAAGTCGCTGAGGCTGGCTTTGAACTCGCAATCCTCCTGCCTCAGCCTCCCGAGCCGCTGGGATGACAGGCGTGCGCCCCCGTGCCTGGCCCGTCGGATATTTTTATGATGTGGTTGTTAGTTTCTCTTGCCTGGGAGGTCATCACCGGGGAGGCTGCTTTCTGAGCAGGACTGAGGTTCCAAGAAAGGGGAGAGAGAGTTGGGGGAAGGGAAGGGCGGGCGCCAGGAACAGGTGGCGGAATCGCTCTCTCTCTCTCTCTCCGGCCTCTTTCTTTTTCTGTGCTCCTGGGGGCTGCTCCTGAGTCTGTGCCCTTCACAGGGAGTCACCTGCAGAGTTTCCAAGACCATGAAAATCAAGCCGGGTCGCCTGGGAACGGCCTTACCCCATTACGACGTGCAGGTCTGCTGGGGCCCCTGAGGAGGGAGACACAGAAAGCATAAACCTGTTAAGTCCTCTATTTATTAGATTTTTCATTGAGTCAAAAATAATTGAGAATAAAAGATATTAAAATAATATGGAGCCGGAGGCGAAGAGGGGAGGAGGGAGGGAGGAGAAGGGAAGGTAGATTTATATTCCTACCATTCAGAGAGAACAGCTTGGTGCAGCTAACAAATTGGCTAGATAAGTACATGTGTTCTAAAAATAGAAATAAGGGTAATTTTTATTGGTTTGCTTTTGGTGCCAGGGATGGAACCCAGGCATTTAACCACTAAGCCCCGTCCCCAGCCCTTTTTTTAAATATCTTATTTAGAGACAGGGTCTTGCTAAGTTGCTTAGGGCCTCACTAAAGTTGCTGAGGCTGGCTTTGAACTTGCGATCCTCCTGCCTCAGCCTCCCGAGCTGCTGAGTCACAGGCGCGAGCCACCGCGCCCGACTGTGTGTAACCATCTCTCTAGGTGAATGGATGCCAATGTACATCATGAATTTTAATAACTAGGTAATAGATATGTCATCGGTCAGCCCAAAGGGTGATACCCAGATTTTGACTAGTAAAATCGAGACCTTACTGAGTGGGGTGGTAGCTAAAGTTTTGCCCCTTTCCCTTCTTTATTTCTTGGGGCTGAGCTGCAAGAGCTAGAATCTGTGTTTGTGGACCCGTGACCATGTGCACCACCCTGTGCCTCTAAAGTGCAACTATTAATACTCTGTTCAGAATCATGTGTCATTACCCGTCGCCCCACTCCCCATGAGAACCGCTGACTGAGCTGCTTTCTTAGTGTCCGGTTTCATTTGGATAAAGACCCTGACACGGGCTGTCCGTCTGTGTTACACAGAAAACCTCGAGGCCTAGCGCTCTGAGAGTCAACTACTAACAAGGCAGCGGGGGGAATTTGAGACTCTCTTTGTCCATTTCCAAGGTGGCCTCACACACCATGGGAGATTTTTATGTCCCAGGGCCTCTGCAGACTCCTCCAGAGCAGGTCTCTGTCTGACCCACTCACGCGGCCACACGGGTCACCTCCTTCCAATCGGCTTCCTCCTCCAGGTCATCGATGAGGAGGGCCACGTGCTGCCTCCCGGTCAAGAGGGAGACATGGCCATCAGGGTGAGGCCCACCAAGCCCATAGGCATCTTCCTTGGCTATGTGGTAAGGACCGGTCCCCGTCCTCCTCTCTCCAGTGGGAATGCGGGGCACCAAGTGACACAAGGGGACCTCAAGTTATGAACCTCTCAAGAGGCATCGGCAAGATGTCCAGTGTCCAAGGATGGGTGCTCCGCCAAGGGGAAGGGCTGCCCCTTCTCCCCAAACAACCTCAGCCCGCCTCTGGGATCTGGGTCACAGGCCTGCCCTACACCCTACACCCGCACCTTCCAGAGGTCTGAAGCTCGGAGACTTCCCTGTGGCGGGGGGCATCCCGAGCCTCAGGGCCCCAGAAGGTGCAGGTAGAGAGGGTCGTTGAGTCCAGGCGGCTCACCGGCAGGTGAGGACGGTGACGCCAGAGATTACCAGAGTCCCTGACGCCCAGGGCTACTGGGAAGCAGGCAGGGAAGACCCTCGACCCACGCATCCTGGCCCCCAGGCTGGTTGATTAACAAGTGTCCCCTTTTATTGAGCTGGTACTACAAGGTTAGCGTGTCCTAAAGCACCTCACCTACATTAGTCATTCAATCCTCCTGGTCACCCTACGGACGCTCTGGATCCAGCTTGCTGAATTCAGAACCCTGCTTCCCCATTCACTGAGTGATCTTGGCAAGGCCCTGGGCTCTCCTGACTCGGTTTCCTCGTCACATGAGGAAGGAAGCTAAGCTAGTAGTTCAGAAATCTGGCTTCTGGTCTCAGCTCTATCACCTAGAATGGCTGTTGAGCCTCAGACAATCCTCTTGACCTCTCTGATTTTTCAGTGCCCTCACATTCCCCAGTGAGGGAGCTAGGCTAAGGCTCCTCTGTGACACTGTCTAACCCAGTAACTGAACACCCAATTTGAAGCCCACACGCCCCCCCGCAGCTGAACAAGACAGGAAGGTGCACGGAGGGGAGGAAGCCCGAGCCTCAGCTGCCTGGAGGGGCCCCGCACATTGGAGGGAACCAGGAAAAGGACAGAATCAACCAGAAATTCGAGGACAGTATCAGGGAGTGAGCAGAGTTGAGGCTGTCCAGAAGGGAGGCTGAAATCAATGGGGAGAAATCCCCTAGCGTACAGATGGAAGAGTGCATCAATATTACCCATCAGACCAGACCCAGGGGAATAAGTGAGAGACCCTAGCTGGACGAACTGCAATAAAGGAGGAAAATTCAGTTGGATCAGGGATCCAGGGTGGGTGGGTTCAAGGCAGGTCCACCCTGTGTGGTTGTTCAGGTTGCCAACTGCTCAACCGGCACATCTGCTCATGGTAGCCCTGGGACAGGGACTTAGACTTGGCAGGTACAACGACTTGCTCTTTGTGGTCACCAGGACAATCCCCAGAAGACCGCAGCCAATATTCGCGGGGACTTTTGGCTTCTGGGGGACCGAGGAATCAAGGATGAAGATGGGTATTTCCAGTTCGTGGGGCGGGCAGACGATATCATTAATTCCAGCGGGTGAGCTTGGCTTCTGGGCTGGGAAGGGCATTCTGGACCTTTATCCTGGCGGGTTCTGTACTTTGTGGATGACCTAGAGGCTGAGTCCAGTGTTCACCGAAGGACTGGTCCTTCCGCAGGTACCGGATTGGGCCCTCGGAGGTGGAGAACGCCCTGCTGGAGCACCCTGCCGTGGCTGAGTCGGCTGTAATCAGCAGTCCAGACCCCGACAGAGGAGAGGTGATGGGGTGTGCACAGCCTAGGCCCGCACCTTGGCTGTGTGACCTTGGGCAAGCTACTTAGCCTCTCTGTTCTTCAGCTAGCTCCTCTGTAAGATGAGGGGCTGCTACGAGGACTGTGTATGTTGATATTTGTAAAGTGTTAGGACAAGGTCAAGCACCTAGTCAGCTCCACCTATATGCAGACTCTTATTATGGGAAGACAAGGAATTTCCTCCTGCTGTTTGGCATTTGAATCAGAACCTGATTCCTGACCAAGAGAACAGAGGAGGATTTGGAGCCAGTGATAGGATCCTTCAGCCAGGTGGTTCCCGGTGGGACTCTGAGAATAAAGAAAGACCCTACCAAATATGGGGAGGTGCCATTGAGGGGCCACCCAGGTGGTGGCTGCGGGGCCTGGCAGGATCCCAGGAGACGACTGGTCCCCTACGCACCCTTCTCTCGTCTCCCTGGCCGTAGGTGGTGAAGGCATTCGTGGTCCTGGCTCCCGAGTTCCTGTCCCATGACCGGGACCAGCTCACCAAGGAGCTGCAGCAGCACGTGAAGTTGGTGACAGCCCCGTACAAGTACCCGAGGAAGGTGAGCCTTCCCACTCCCGGGGAAGGAGGCCGAGAACGAGGCCTCTCGGTCCAAAATCCCTCCTTGGTTGTGACCAGGAAAGCCACCCAAGACAACCCAACAGCCATCCACTGAGGACTAGAAACCAGACTCAGTCTTTGACCAACTCCAAATGGGAAGAAAAATGCCAAATGTTCTCATGCAAACAAGTGCCAGCCAACCCCGGCCTGTCCCCCTCTGTCCCTGCCCGGGGGTCTTGCTGGGACATCCGGGGCTCTACAACTCTCAGTTGCAGGTGGCAGAAAGTTAAGTTTTCGTTCCTGGCTCACAGGAGAGGACGGTCCAGGAGAGGGTGTTCCATCCTGGCTGATCCCGGGCGTCTGGACAACGCGGTCAGGAGTGTCTCTCGCGCACCTCGACCCTCCTTCTCTATTAGCCTCATTTCTTGACTGGTTCTCCGTTTGTGGCTCCAAGAAGCTCCAAACACACACCCATTCTTAGCAGCTTAGCAAATCCCAGGGGGAAGAGATCATGGATGTCCCCACAGGCCCCAGCAAAGGCCCAGGGCTGACACTTGTAGGAGAACTTGGGGCTGCGCTCCCAGGGTTAAACCGACCCCTGGAACCAGGCGATGGATCCTCTGATCGGCCAGCTCTGGGTCACGTGGTCCCCTGAGGGTAAGATGTCCTGTACCCGTCTCCGGCTGATCTCTGAGGAGGGAACTGGGGTATCGATGTCAACATGGCAAGAGAAGCCGGTTCACAGGTTTGGGTACAAGGTAAGGGCTGGTTCCAGGGAAAGGAAACACAGATGTTTTGAATCTGGAGCAGAAGGTGACAGAGACCCTGGTGAGCCCCTTGGATGGGCGGGTGACCCGATGGCCACCTCCTCAGCACACGCTCCTTGACATGGGGATTTCCTGAGAAGCAGACCCCGGGGCGGAGACCGGCACGCAAGAGGCTTCTTAGGGGGTGTTGGGGGTCAACTCCAGGGAGGGGGACAGGCAGGGAGCAGGACTGGGGGGGAAGCTGCTCTGGGATCCAGTCTCGGGAGGACCTCAGCCAGCCCCACCGGAGGGACTGAGGTTAGGACGAGCTTCCAGAATGATCCAGAGCCAGGCCCCATCACTTTACAGACCCCTGTAGATCAGGGGTGGGTGCGGGCTGCCCCCTGAGCCTGGGCAGGACAGCTGTCCTTAGCTGGGACCATCCCCCAAGGGGGCTGCAGTGGTGGTGAGTCCTTCTTCCTGAAGCAGCCTCAGCTCAGAGCGAGGCAGCCTCTGAGAGTCTCAGGAACAGGCCTGTGGGTCCAAATTCCAACTCCCTCTACTTACCCCATGACCTCTCTGTTCACTGACATTTAAAATGGGGCTAATGATTATCCGCCACAGGTTGTCGGGGATGAGTTAACATCTATAGGACATTAAGCACTTAGAAGAATGACTAGCGCCTAAGAAGCATTTCCTGAGTCCGGTTATTTTTTTTTGTTTGCAGGGGGCAGGGGGCAGGGATATTTTACCACTGAGCTACATCCCCCCAGCCCTTTTGTTGTTGTTGTTCTGTTTTGTTTATTTTTTGAGACAGGGTCTTGCTAAGTTTGCTTAGGGCCTGGTTAAGTTGCTGAGGCTGGCCTCAAACTTGCTATCCTCCTGTCTCAGCCTCCCAAGTCACTGGGATTCCAGGCAGGGGCCACCACCACACCCAGTACTTTTAAAGGAGACTAGAAACCAAAACACACCAAACGTAGTTATGAATTCTGAACTGTAATAGAATGTTCTGGAAGATCTAGTAGAAGGGCCCTATCCCATAGTTTACAGCATATTACTTAAGTGTCCCTCCCCAGATGAAGTCCTTCCGTCCGTCTTTCCTCTAGAATTCCCAAGGCAGCAGGTTCTTTTGACCAACCAAAAAGTGCTACCTCGCATCAACCCACATGTCCACTCTGACTTACTTCCCCTCTCTGTCCACCCCGCGGGGGCCCATGGGTCCATAGTTTAGGCCACATTGTCTGTTGAAGCTCCTCGACTTTGCCTCTGAATACTAAAGTGACCACAGACAGGACAGTACTGCCCCCTCGTCTGCAGGGGATAGGTTCTAAGAAACCAGACAGCACCAACCCGACAGGTAGACTACGGGTTTTTTTTTTTCTATACATACCTACTTATGATAAAGAAAAACTTAAAATTCGGGCACAATAAGAAATTTAACCACAACAATAATAAATCAATTATAACAATTTACTGAAACAAAAACTATTTAAATGCATGAATGGTTGATTTCCAGAATTTTCCATTTAATCTTTTCGGATCATGGTTGACCACAAGTGACCGAATCCATGGAAATCCAAATCGTGGATAAGGAGGGATTACCATACCTGGAGGAGGAGGTGTGGCTGTGTTTTATTTAGGGACAGGACGAGGACTGGACTTTGCCCCCAAGCCATCATTTCTGAGCCCTGACCCTGGGGTCTGAACAAACTCCTTTCTCATCAGTCAGTGTTATCTATGGAAGAAATCTCACTTCCACTGCTAAGATACTCTTTCTCTGTCGGGATGCCTGTGGTTGTTATTTTTATTGAGCTTTGAAACGTCTGACTCCCAGACCAGGGCCGTGGTCAGCTGAACCCTAAAACTGGAAGTCTCCGTGGTTTATCTTCATCTGTATCTTAGTACTCAGGGTTATTAGACATGGAGGGTTCTCACCTTCCAACGCTGCCTTTAACAGGTGAAGATAGTGAAATTGGAGGAAAGCAGATCAATAGGAAATGATCTGAGAAATTAAATGAAAAACCAAGGGTTCGCCGAGTGCGGTGGTGTACGCCTTTAATCCCAGCAGCTCAGGAGGCTGAGGCAGGAGGATTTCGAGTTCAAACCCAGCCTCAGCAGCTTAGCGAGGCCCTGAGCAACTCAGCGAGACCCTGTCTCTAATAAAATATTTTGGAATGGCTGGGGATGTGGCTTGGTGGTTAAGCACCCCTGGGTTCAGTCCCTGGTACTAAAAACAAAACAACAACAACAGGTGTTCTGACTTGAGCCATCTGCTCTTCCTCGTCCAGATTGATAACAGCAGACATTTCTGAGCGCTGGCCTCTGTGCCAAACCCAGTTCCTTCTCTTGCTTCTCCTCTGAGTGACAGTTGGTTGGAGACCAGAGTTCTAGACTTTTCTGCCCTGTTCTAGCCACCCTCTCCTTGCCCCGAGGCACTTTCTGAAACTTCCTGTTGCACACAGAGATTTTTCTGGAAATTTCCCAGGTTCTGTCCTCACGCCTCCCGGAGCCTCCAGCCTCGGGATTCCCCGTCACAGAAACTCCTCTGAAAAATCCAGCCCCTCTGTGTCCTGACCCACCCGGGTCTCCTTTTTCCCCACAGCTGGAGTTTGTCCTGGACCTACCCAAGACCATCTCAGGGAAAATCGAACGAGCAAAGCTTCGAGCCAGAGAGTGGAAGACATCTGAGCAAGCCCGGGCCCAGTGAGACCGCCCCCCCCCGGGGGTCACTCACTGGGGTGTTACCACAACCCCATTTTTTCAGTACCAGTTTCTGTGTAGCTTTCCATTACAATAACAAAATACCTGAGAAAAATCAACTTATAAAGATAAAATGTTTATTTTGGCTGATCGTTTTGAAGGTCCCCTCCCCTTTCCCTTCCCTCGGGGTCTTCAGTCTCCCTATGAGGATTTTCTCTTTTTTTTTTCCTTGATTATTAGTATTGCCTTGTTAGATGCTGAAAGAAGAAAGAGAAAAGGGATGAGAGGGGAAATAAGAGGGTAACAGGAAAAGGAAATTAAAATGTCGTGGAAAGATTCACCAGCAAGGGAAAGCAATTGGAAAATAAGTCCATAAAAATAAATACTGGCACTTTCCATGAGCCAGGCACAGTCTGAGACACATCATCAACCCCTTTGCTTCATCCCTGGTCACAGCTGTGGTGACCGTGAAGGTGCCGGTCCCCAAGCCCCATGATTTTGACATCATCTGGTCTTCCTAGAATCAAATAATAAAACCATTTTTAAATCAAGACCCTGAGGATGGTTTGGGAGGAAGACAAAGAATGAGAGGGATGTCTCCAGCCCCTCGTGGGGTAGGGAACCCGCGGAGTAGACAGCAGGTGGCGCTGTTGAAGAACAGACCCCCCCCAGGCTCAGTGGCTGGGCCCCTTGGGTCCAGGAGGGGACAATCTGGAGACGGAGGGTGAGCCTTCCTGGCAGGCTGGGGTAAGGGGAAGTGGGCTCTGACTTCTCTTGGGAACTCTTAGCAATGACAGCAACGACAGTGGTATTCAGCACTTACCCAGCACTTGCTGCGAGTTAGACACCAAGCGATTGTCGTTCCCTTTGTACAGTGTGGGGAATGGGACTTGGAGAGGTTTAGAGAAACTCCCTGGGCCGTGAGTGACAGGGCCAGATTCTAACCCAGCCTGTCCTGTGTAACACCTGTGCTTTTCAATGGCCCTGCCTACCCATCGATGGAGTCCATCACCTTGAAGCTCAGCCTCCTACAAAGTCCCAGGGATAAACCACGTGAATTCTGGTTCTTTGTCACAGTGTAAGGGGCCTGGCCTCCAGTGTCCTCATTTCCATCTGAGACTTCATCAGCAGAGCCTTTACTGTGCCCATTTCTATCAGCACCCTTGCCACCTGAGCCCCTTCCACAATCACCCATTAAGCTCCACTTACAGAATTCTAAACTTTCTTTGGCCTGTTCCTCCAAACCTTTATGAACTCTTTTGAACCAATTCCAAAGGCCCCTCCACATCATTAGGTATATAGTTACAACACCCCCATTTTGCAGTACCAGTTTCTGTATTAGCTTTCCATTACTATAACAAGATACCTGAGAAAAATCAACTTATAAAGACAAAAATGTTTATTTTGGCTGATAGTTTTGGAGATTCCAGTCCCCCATCAGTTGGCCGTGTTTGGGGGCTGGGGCGAAGCAGCACACCACAGTAAGAGTGCGTGGCAGAGAATAAACTGCTCACTTCATGATCCAGGAAGCAAAAAGCATGTGAGAAAGGAGCCTTGGAACCACAATATCCTTCAAGAGCACATCCCAACAACCTCAGTACCTCCATTAGGCTCTTCGTCTTAAAGGGTCCACCACCCCTCATGGGACCTTTAGTGGACCCTTGGTGGACAGTGAGCACCCACACTTGAGCGTCCCACCCTCAGACTCAATGCTATCCTTACTACATAAGAGGGAAGCTCACACATTAGTGCCTGGAAGAGGGACGTCGCCTCATTACAGTCTTATAACGGCATCAGCTAAACTTTAAGAAGGTCAGAAGAGGTGGTCATTGAATCCGTCACACAACAAAGAGTCTGGACTTCCTCGAAAGAGCAGTACCATTAAAGTGGGTCGAGGAACACAACGAACTCAGTCCACTGTGCGATTTAAAACATTGACCCTGGTCGCTGAACTGTGAAAGGATTCAGGGTGGAACTGAGAGGTGTTTAGAATCTCTTCTTGGAACTTGGAAATCTCATGACCAAGGGAAAGCAGGCCCTGGAGGATGACGCCCAGGTTGTGGGGTTAGGTAAACGGATCCACGGTTCTAACACTTTCTGAGAAGGGAGAATCTGGAGGAGAAGATCAGAGATGAGAAAGTGATGTGACTCCATTTTTGAAAATAAATAACAGCAGCTTCCACCTCAAGGCCTGTCCAAGGAAGGGGGGGATGACCTTTGTCCTTGGAAAAACCCACAGAGCCTTTCTAGGTACATATCCACCCTGCTGAGTTGTTTGTCTGCAAATAACAGGAGAGATCTGTGGTGACAGGTGTCCCTGACTCAGTCAGGCTAGGTGAAGACCCCTAGCAACCCCCCCCCAGCAACCACCAATCAGCATGAGACAGGGAAATACCTGGGATGCCAGATGACCCCCCAGTAGTTTATGGTGGTTGATAACATGTTGGGAAACCATGTAGTTCAGCAGGTACACCCCTCGTGGCCTAA